ATCATACACAACAACAAAAACGAACATCCAAAGGCTATACAATCCCATCACAACTTAAACAAAAGATTGGCTAAAACACAACCGACATGCCGTCCACAATCACGACTCAAAGGATTTAAAGTACGACTTGACTTCGCAGAAAAGGACCTCATTGAACCAGACCAATGACCACCTCGATGTTCAAGTATACGTGCAGATCCGAGTTACAAGGCATCCCTTCCTAACACGAATTTCACGCCATTCTCAGACGAGGCTGAACACGACAGTTCTCCACTAATACAGGAAAACCTGACATAGCAAACCATTTTGAAATCGGATTGATTTCATTGGGGATCACAGTCGTTGTCGAATGACAAGACAACAATTTCATGTCCATAATTCCAGCGTTCTGGAACGTTCTTCTTCAAAGAGGAACCGGATAAGAAAAATGATGTTCGCCAAATACCAACAGTCATCATCCATCCTTCAACTACAGAAAGAGAAGATAAAAACTCAAAACTCTGTAAACCCCGGATGGGTGGAACCTGATCTAAACTAAATTTAATTATTTCATATAAATTAAGTATTTTACCACTGTAAAGTATTTAATATTAACCCTATTACATCTTAGAAAGATTGACTATATTATACGCTATGTTTAATTTTGTAGGATTTCTTTTCTCACTATTAAAAGGAATCTATAGTACATGTGCTATACACACACAAGTAAACCGCCAAGTAAGCGTAGCACGTATTTTATTTGCAGGATTTTTTGGAATATTTTCATCATCAATAAATAAAATACTTTTAGATGCACAAATAAAAGAATATAACACAAAATTAGCCACAAGACCAAATACATACCACGAAGAACATAATATTGTAGACACAACACCTACAGCACCACAAATACCAGCCCTACCACAAAATCATTCACTATCATTAGTTCCCCGAAATTTTCGAAACTTAGCAATCACAAATAATCCAAATTTCAGACCAAGTACAACACAAAGCCCCATCCAACACAACGACAAATCATTCACAAAATGATAATACTTTGGAACAAATTATTGAACAACCCCATACCACCACTTTTCAGTCTCAACATAATCAGTTTTTTAGCCCACGATGAGCCGACAAATTGGAGCCCTCCATCGCTCAAATTCCCACCCAGCCAAACTCCAAAATTCAATCCCAATTATTCCACTTTTCGCTTTCCCGCCACCCGATTTCCCAGTTTTTAGTATACCATCAAGCACTAATTCAGACACTAACTCAGATATTTCAGTACTTCATACCATCTCACAATTTAACAACTCCGACATCGAAACTCTCGACGAATTTGCAGACTCCGAACCATCTCCCTCTACCCATACCCAGACCAGTCCCTCAGTTTTTTCAAGACCCCCCTTTCAACTCATTCAAACCAGTCATCCACTCCCATCCCTTTCCACTCCCTCTTATGCTTCCCAAGTAACCCCAACCGATTCCCCATTTACTTCCGAAAGATCAAATAATAACTCCCCAGATACTGTCCAAATCTACGAAGAACTCGACAATTTTATTACATTTCAACAACAATTAACATACCCCCCACGCTCTCAACATCCATCAATTATCATCCACAGCAACATCATCAAAATCACCAACACCTACACCGCTATCAGATTACACCCCATCATTAGCTCAATCATCCACATCCACTGAAACACCCACTAGCACTAACCGAGCTTATCGCACTTTTAAACGAAAATTCCCAAATCATCCATTCACAACCAAACCCGGAACAGCCAAAGAGTATATCAAGCACCCAGAACATACAAATACAAAAAATTTCCTTCAAATAACCTTACCCTCGTTTCCACAATACACCTTAAATACCTCTACCACTACTAATGACACAAGAAATTTTGTTGATGAGCACGTTTTAATGCCAACACTTCACTGGACAGCGTATTACCACTATACTAACCCTCTTTTTCTACCACTCACTAATACACATGAGGATATTGAAAGAAGCAAAAATATACTATAAAGACTCACAACATCACTAACACCTCGACAATTTACATATGTTGGATTTAAAAAGTTACTAAAAATCATTCACCGCACCCCGAGCTTACGGTTTTTCCATCGAATATTACGATCACAGCATCATACGCCCTAACCAAGATCAATTTTTAGATGAAGACCGCCTTGCAAACCCGCAACTAACCGAAATTTTTTTTCTTAAAACACCATACCTTTTTACACTTAATATTTTTGATAAAAAGCACAATCATATAATTTCCGAAACACTAATCGACATACAAGCATATGACAGCTTCTATGATAATTTTCAGTTATTTCAACTAACTTTTCACTTTCTTTCAAAGCAGGAACGCGATTTGCACTGTTCCCATGACATAATGTTGCGCACTAAACAAAGACATACTTACACATATTATCATTTTATACAAAACCATTTTGACTTACACACACCATCACGACAACCCCACCATCGTTTTCAGTTTAATAACTCGAAGTACACGTTACCATTTTTTCTTAATTTTACATATTGCATTAAAAATACTAACCTCCACGGCATCCTCCGCAACTACGATCTCATTACCCAAATGTATATATTGTGTCCCCTCACAAAGACCTTCAATGATGAAGAATCAAGACCCTTCATTATCCCGCATGAGTTCATACAACCTATTGAAACCCCCATATTAGAGTTCATTCATAATACTAAATATAATCACAAAATTTACAATCTAATACAAAACACACCTCATGAATTCGCAGTAGGCACCGAAGAACTAAAAATCATCAAAGCACTTCAATTGTTTTGGCCACCGCTGCAAACTAAAAATGTCGTTCGCATACTAGCCAAGTTATTAACAACATCCGATTTGATTCACGAAATCTTCCCACATGGCTTTTTTCCCGATGACTAAGGTAAGCATAATTAAAATAAATTTAACTAATAAATTCGAATTGTACTAGCCATTTTCTATAAATGTTTAAATTCTTTTTTTAGTCTTCTCACCACCATCATCTACAAAAACAGAAAAAAGAAAAATAAAAATACAAACTTGTTAAATTGTAATACAAATCTAGTAAAACTCTTTTGCTAAAACTTATTTGCTAAAACTTTTTTGCTATACTAAATTTTTCGCACTAAATAATATAGTAAAATTCATATCAAATGTAGTAACTTTTTTTTATAAATTATTCCCCCAAAAAGCAGTTAAATTAAATACGATGAAAATTTATAATTTTAAATTTCCCCAAATGTAGTAAATTTCAAAATTCAAGCAATAAATTCCTTAAATGAGAAAGCAGTACTAACTTTTTCAATGTTTTCATTCATTCGCACAAGAATTCTATCCATACTCGCACAGCTCGCCACGAAGTTTTGTTTAAAATAATGATTTTATGTTTCAAGTTTTCAATATCAACAACTCAAACTAACGATAACAAGTTTCCAACTTTTCTTTAACACGGTTGGAATGGAGTTATACACTACACCAAACTAACCAATGGTGCTTACTAAATACCACAAATCATAAAATAACAGCATGACTAAGAAAAGAAAACCAACGGTACCCAAGCCGGATTAACCTAGTTTAAAACTGGATAATTTATTCTTTTGAAGACTATTACAAAGTCGAAGAAAGAAATAATAAAACACAAAAAAGTCGTAAGACAAACCCAAACCAAAAACAATTTGATTTTTGAAAAAAGGACACAACCAAAAGTAACATAAGAAAGACCAGAAAAAACCAACATAAAATGTTATCACAAAACAGGACCCCTCAAAGAAATAGCACGAAATCATACTCCCATTCCTGGCCTAACCCACCAGAGAAGGACGTACTGAGCATGCTTATAGCCGGCCTAACCCACCGCGCTACACCCACGCTTTGTGACCACACTTCAATTTTTAATAAGGGTGAGTAACTCTTCAAAATAACTGAACTAAAATAAAACGCTTTTGTGAAAACAACTAACTAAGATCATGAATAAAAACCAAATTAACTAAAATTTATAAAATGTAAATCATAATATGCAGTATATAGATCATACACAACAACAAAGACGAATATCCAAAGGCTATACAATCCCATCACAACTTAAACAAAAGAATGGCTAATACACAACCGACATGCCGTCCACAATCACGACTCAAAGGATTTAAAGTACGTTTTGACTTCGCAGAAAAGGACCTCATTGAACCAGACCAATGACCACCTCGATGTTCAAGTATACGTGCAGATCCGAGTTACAAGGCATCCCTTCCTAACACGAATTTCACGCCATTCTCAGACGAGGCTGAACACAAGACAGTTCTCCACTAATACAGGAAAACCTGACATAGCAAACCATTTTGAAATCGGATTGATTTCATTGGGGATCACAGTCGTTGTCGAATGACAAGACAACAATTTCATGTCCATAATTCCAGCGTTCTGGAACGTTCTTCTTCAAAGAGGAACCGGATAAGAAAAATGATGTTCGCCAAATACCAACGTTCATCATCCATCCTTCAACTACAGAAAGAGAAGATAAAAACTCAAAACTCTGTAAACCCCGGATGGGTGGAACCTGATCTAAACTAAATTTTATTATTTCATATAAATTAAGTATTTTACCACTGTAAAGTATTTAATATTAACAACCCATTTATTTGTAAGTGCTGAATTTACTTGTAGTTTCAGCACCAGAGAGATTTGAATTTAACTTAGAAATTAGTTGCCGCTCCTCGAGAACTTCAGCAGCCGCAATAAAACCAGTATACTCTAGATCTATTGAGCCTAGCAGAGACTAGTTAAACACCCTGAGACTAGTAGTTACAAGAGAAAGATTAGGATCGGTATTAGACTAAGAAGTTGCACGAATCTATCCGGCCGAAAATAAGATAGCGTGACGAGCAGACGGTGTACCCTATCCGAAATTACTCTATGAGTTATACACCTCAAACTTAACTCATTTGCTTTACTCTTGTCTTTAACACATGTTTATCTTTTGTCCAGGTGTGAGTGCGAGACAGGCTGGTTTGGTCAGTTTTGCGAGGAGCAGTTCAGACCCTGCAAAACATATCTGTGCAGAAATGGGGCACAGTGCACTGTCACGGGAGAGCATGAACAGAAATGTGACTGCAAACCTGGTAAGGATGGATGCTCATTTGCGCACACACATACTTTCCATACATATTGCGCACTTAATTCTGGGCTGTGAATGCACTCACAGGCAATTTCAGTTTGGAAGGATAAATATAAAAACGAAGAGATTAATGGCCCAAAACTAAGATGAGAGAAAGTGTTTCAGGTTGACTTTTACTCTTGGGAGTTTGAGATGTCGACTCAGTTTCATTTCATGGTTGTAAACTATTATCAATGTTTGCCAACACCGTCGAAGCGCTTAAAAACCATTATAATTATGAAAAACGGAGGCTCCAATCAAAAATAATGATGTCTACCTAGTGTTGCGTTTTTCTTATGTTTTGTCGGCTTAGTCGTCACCAGTCAGATTTTTCTGACCAGTCAGATTTGGTCAGTTATTTGGTCGGAAATCAGAAAAAGTCAGAATATATGTTCGACCCCGTGCCGACCCAAAGGGTCCCCCCTTTGGTACTTTTTAAGAAATATAATTTTGGCGGACCGAACCTAAAATTTTTCGAAAGGCGCCTTTGGCGCCAATATATACTAATTTTGAGGGGGAAGCGCGCGCCGAAAAAACGCATTTTTTTAGTCACAATTTTCCAAAAAGTGCCTAAAAACATAAAAACACCTGTTTTGACTGTTTTTTCAAAAATTTGCCTGCATAGTTGTAGTTCAGATATGAAAAAGGTCAGCAAAATGGTCAGATTTTTGATCTGAACGAAGTGGTAACCATGCTCGTCACAGCGCGGAATTTTGTAGTGATTTAGACCTTTTTCATTATAATATAAAAAACATTCGATGTACAATTGTAATTAAGCAAGTTATTGAGTTCCAGAGTTTTAGCTGATTCTGTAATAAAAACGCGATACACGATTTAAGGGAGCATGCGAGCGATTATACTTTTCTTGCTATTTTATTACTTCTCTTTTATTTGTTTTTTTTTGGTGGGGGATTTGAAAGATACATGGGCCGATTTTAGGACGAGTTTTTTGTTTTTCATTCTCCTCTCAGTCACAAGAAAGCAATGAAGTGGAGCCTTGGGGGAGATTGTTCACATGGGGCCGAAATCATAATTTCATTGATAATTTTCCCCTTTTTCACAAACCATTCCAATTCCTTCGCATTGTTTAAATTTGTCAAATGGTCGGATCTACTTAACAATCTCCCCCCCCCCCTTCAAGAAAGGGGGGAGATTCTTTAGTTGATACAATGGGGGGGGGGGATTGTTAAGTATAGGTCCAAATGGTCTTTTATAAATCCTTAAATACTGGCTACACTCCCTTCTGCCGTTTGAGTTCCAACGATCGAGGGTTGTTTAGAAGCGCTTGAAGACTCGCCTCACCGCATAAAGTGTAATTTTAGTGTGAGAAATGAAATCAAATAATTGCCCCCAGCGGTTATATTAAGCCCCCTCAATCCTGTTTAATTGGGGCTCAATCATGTTTCTACTCCGATCTCAACAAATGTAAACAAGTAAACTAAGCGGGCTACGTTTTGGATCGAACCGCGCTTGATTGAACTCAAATTGACTCGAAGTTTTGGGTCTAGCACAACAAGCCGAGGGACTTCAGGCCGAAAATGAAACTTTACAAGCTCCTCAAATCATTTTTTTTTCATCTGTAAAAGGTTTCTTTTCAAAATCTTAGGCTAGTTCAGTCCATAATAAGCGTTATTTATGACAATGAATTACTTAGGATTGGCATAAGTTAAAAATATCAGCCATTTTTTGAAATGCATAAATTATAAACAAGAAAATTACCTTCAACCGTGTTTTATTTTTCAACCTTCCTAAACTTCGTTTGGAGGTTTAAATTTCGTGAAAACGCTATTAATTACCGAATAAAGGTCATGAAATTGAGAAATTCGTGAAAAAAGTTTTCAAATTAACCTTAGTTCATGACTTAATGAGAAAACTTTGGGCTTGAAGTCCCTAATTTTACAATTCGGCTTGAAGTCCCGTCGGCTTGATGTCCGGCACCCGAAGTTTTATGTAACGCAGGACTGCAGCACTAAAATGACTCGAAGAAAATGCTATGATTGACGGGTCTAGTTTTTCTGTTTGGGTTTCTTCATGTGAAATGAGTCGTACCGCTGCGGGATGGTTAAACAGCTTTAGCTATCAGCAGTAATTATCTTTAAAATCGTTTCTCCTATATGATTCGTTTCTTAGATTTACCCAAATGTAATAGAATTGTATTTCAATTCCGTATTGAAAATCGTACATAAATTGGTCAAATCAACAATACTTCTTTCTTGTAAATGTTTCAGCTATAAAAAGAGGTCAAGGATCTCTTAAACAAACAAAAAACGGTTGCAGACTCAAACTATTTTGAAAAAAAAAGTATGCTGCCTAAGTTGTGCCAAACTATTTACAAAAAGTTGCGTGAGATCTTGAGTTTGGCTGGGCTAAAATTTTTTTCTGTGCATTTTTTTCCATTTAATTTAAACCTCAGTTGCAGAGAAACAAACTAATTTAAACAGAAGGAAAACTTTTTTTTAGAAATCAAGAGAATGAAACGATTTCAGGTTTTGTGGGCGACTTCTGTGAACAATTTGCTCCGTTCGACTGCCGTGGCAATGGAGGACACCATTTGTGTCAAAATGGTGGAGTATGTGGACTGGACCCCTCAGACGGAAGTGCCAAGTGCTCCTGTCCCAAGGAATACACAGGTGAGCAGAATCTTTTTCTGGTGGATTTAGGGTGGAGGGAGCATAAACTGCGATTTAAAAAGTCTGAGGATCTACTTAACAATCTCCATCCCTATAAATAAATACAGCAAATTAGCACTGAGCTTTCTATTGAGAATTATAATTTTGCTGCATTCTGATTGGTCGAAAAACCGAACAATTTTATCTCCCCCCGCCCCTTTCTTGAAAGGGGTGGAGATTGTTAAGTAGATCCAACTCTGTAATTTCATTTTCGGCTACCTTCGCAAAATAAAGAGACCCCTCTATCACATTTGTACCATTGTTTGTTGAGAGACTTAAAATTCTCAGTATTTTCAAAAATCCAAATCCGCTCTAAAAAGATAAGACTATTTACACAAGCGATCTTGTGAGCGTAGTTTTGTTCGATCAGTCCAGCTTTTTTTTACACTAGAGGTCGCACGTTTTATACGTCAACTAAACAGCGTTGTCTAATTACATCCGCTTTATCAGAGCTGTTCTTCGCTGTCCGATAATTGGGAAAAAAGTGGGGGCCTCATGTTAAATATATGAGACTCATGTTTGCGTGATTCTCAACCAAAAGTTATCTAGTTTGAAAGAGCAAAATACTTTCAATTGTGTAAGTTCCAAACAGCCGCGCATTGGAATAGCCGAAAGACTAAATCGCAGCAAACTCTGATTCACGCGCTTTGTATTATTGTGCCCAATCTAAACTCAGTGGGGCAAGCGGACGCTACTTGACAATGACTTACCAATACTGCATGACTTTGTTGTTTTAATCGTGTTTTCTTATGGCTAGTACAATTCACCGTAATTTTTCGTCTTGTCAGCAATATATGTTTTTGGCTCGGTAACACAATAAACTTAATTACTGTATTCTTTTCAATGCTATTGGAGTTTATGCCGTTTTATGACCACCGAACAAAGTAGAGTAGCCGGATCAAGGGTGGCGTGTCACGGAACCGAATACCCGGATAGTAGAAAAAAATCGTTACCGGATAGCCGAAAAAAGTTCCTTCCCGGATAGCCGAAAAAACATCGTTCCCGGATCGCCGAAAAAAAGTCGTTCACGGATAGCCGAAAAAAGTCAAATCGCGCATAGCGTTAAAACATTGTTCATTTTACTCAATTACATTTTTACGTCGAACATTACAATAATAGATTATTACGTCGAATATTACAATAACAGATTATTACGTCGAATATTACAATAATAGATTATTACGTCGAATATTAATAAGTTATAACAAAGCAGAAACAACTGAAACACCGGACCAATAGTGCTTTATATTGCGATTTCTTTTTTAAAAAAACAGTTTGGGTGCTGTTATTTGGCCATTCACTCTTCTTAGTTTTTTGGATTGTCTCGGTGGGTCTTGCCCCGATTTGAACATTTTTATTGCTTCTTTCGCAAAAATTCTTCAGTTTTCAATTGTTATATTTCTACGCCAAATCAAACATTTTCCTTCTGATTTTTTATTCCACCGACTATTCCAGCCCTCACAGCAATTGGTGGCTCGGAAGTTTGGCTCTATCAAAAACATACCAGAATTTGATCGGAAAAAAAGTCCAGCCAAATCTTCAAAGTATTCTGTAAATTTTTGCAATTGTGGATATCGAGTTTTCTAAGCCAAAAGCTTGGGCGAGTTCACAACCGTTCGATAACAATTTCGAAGTTAAGTCACTGGAATAAACGCGAGGGCGAAAATTTTTCTCATTGGCTTCTTAAACTCGTGATTCAATCTGTAGGCAGTTATTAGGCCAAGTGAACGTAATTTTTTGATAACTGCTTGTGTAAAATGAAAATAGCAACCAATATGGCAAATTTCTGGAGAAATTTCTGCTACAGCTGCTTTGAGTACACTCTCGTAATCATATAAATATTATCTGGGTTGAAAACTTGTCAATTTTTTCCATTTTTTTTTAAATATTAAGCATAACTTTGTAATGGCTGCTTGTCTTCCCAGTAAGAAGAGCTAGCTTTAGCGGAGTCTTGCAATTTCCAAAGTGACCAAAAATTGTATTAATTTGAAAGTACGGGTCTGGCGCAGTCTTGAATGTACCGTCACACAAAATATTTTCACAGGAAGCTAGCCGTTCCATAAATTTTTTCGTCGAAAATATTGTCACGCCGTTTTTCGTATCATTTGAAATCAAGAATTGTGTTATCAAAGTTTTCGCCCATTCTGGTAGATTTTGTACAGCCTGAATGCTGTGTGGAATTGCGGTCAAAAGTTATTTTCGAGCGCGTGAAAGAGATGATCGCAAACCAGGGTTGGCAGAAAAAAAACAACTGGTGTTTAAAACATGTTTTAAACATTGTTTTAAACAGGCGTTTTTTTCACGTGTTTTTTTTTGTGTTTTTTTTTCAAGTTTCAGGCCTTAATTGGGAATTTTGCGAAAGAATTGTTGGACTTGGCACTGAAATTGATTGTCCTTATTCCCAGCTCCGCGGGCCTCGAACGCGCATTTAGTACGATGGGCTTCATTCATTCTGATCTGAGGAACAAATTGGGACCAGAGAAAGTTGGGAAACTTGCTTTCTGCATGAGATTACTCAAAGATAATTGAATTATTTTTGTGCATTTTTTTTTCTCACGAGAATATAGAAAAAAAACACCTGTTGAAAAAAAAAAACAGTGTTTTAAACGTTTTTTTTGTTTTAAACGTTTTAAACGTTTTTTTTCTAAAAAAAAACACTTTTTTGCCAACCCTGTCGCAAACTATTGAAAGGAATTGTTATCTCGTGATTGTATTTTTCGATTGTTTTTTCGTGCGCCGTTTTTATTGTTTGCGCAGAATTTTTTTCCGTTTTTTTACTATTTGTTCTTTGAAATGCGTTTCTTTTAGTTGCTGATCGGCTGGCTCATGGGAATGATTCAGATAAGGTGGCGAAATAATCCGGAGTCAAATCTGATTTTAAGGTTACACGGGTTTTGCAAGTTTTTTCGGAACAAATCAAGTAAATATTTTTTAAATTGATTTGTTTTTTCGGAAAAGAAAGCCGTCTATTACTAAATTTTGACGGTTGGGATGTGAGCTAGGTTGAAATTAAAAATTAAATTTAGCTATACTGGAAATATTATTATTGGAAATTAAGGTATTCTCGGAAATATTGCTCATTATTTTTGGAATATTGTTTGAGCGTTACCGATATCAATTCGTTAATTAGTTGATCTGATTTTTCATTTCGGTATCTTATCTGTTTTAATTTCTTTTCTTTGATCCAATTTACTTGCATCACTTTACATATATCTTAACAAATAAAATTAGAAAAAAACATGCGTTAAAAAGTAGTGGCACATTTGTTGTTAGTATTCAATGAGAATAATTGTATCAACCAATCAAACCTCTTAAATTCATTCGCAGTTTTTGTTTTGTGGCTACTGATCTGCGAAAATTGAAGGATTTTTTATTGTCCAATCAAATTTTTTGACGAATTGCTTTATTTAGTATAGTTGAAACCGGAGATACGCAGCGGATCAAGTTAGGTGAATGAATTCCCATAAGTCAATAATAATAATTCCCATAATAAAAAATCAGTCGCATAAGTCCCAAAATTAGAAGTCGAGAGAAATTTGAGTTTATGACATTCTAATTCGTATAATTCAAATTAGGCCGTGAATTTTTGCTGTTTCTTTCGTCAAGTTAATTTTTGACGTTGTTTTATGCCTGCCTCAGACAATTTTTCTATTTTTGTTTTTCTGTTCTTTGTTTGATGAAAACCGAAGTCGATTATACTCAATTTAGTATTACTATCAAATATGCCTAAGATCTAGGATTTCTTTCAGATCCTTTCTTCACACTGCGAATAAAAAACGAAACCATTTGATTTCGTTTTTTATTCGCAGTTTTGAATTCAATTTTATGTTATTATGGTCGAAAACGTGTTGTACTTGCACAGCAACCGGCTATCTTTGTTTTCTTTTAAACAGTTTGGAAAACTTATTGTGACCATAATATTCTGTGCTTTTTTCCCAGCAACCGGCTGTCCTTGTTTGGTTGTTATGCCGACCATTTGAAAAATGGGGTTGAGCCTTTGTATTCGGCTGTTTTAGTGTGTTCTGAGTTTAGATATGGGGGTCTATCTCATAGAGTAATTTCGGATAGGGTACACCGTCTGCTCGTCACGCTATCTTATTTTCGGCCGGATAGATTCGTGCAACTTCTTAGTCTAATACCGATCCTAATCTTACTCTTATAACTAGTAGTCTCAGGGTGTTTAACTAGTCTCTGCTAGGCTCAATAGATCTAGAGTTTACTGGTATCGTTGCGGTTGCTGAAGTACTCGGGAGAGGCAACTATTTTCTGAGTTAAATTCAAATCTCTCTGGTGCTGAAATTACAAGTAATTTCAGCACTTACAAATAAGTGGGTAGTTAATTAGATGGATTGTGATTGGTTAATATTAAATACTTTACAGTGGTAAAATATCTAATTTATAAATAATAAAATGTAGTTTAGATTAGGTTCCAGTTCTTTTTTTGATTTTAACGCAAAATCAGTTCCGGAAATATTCCTGAGAATGGTTTGAGTAATATATCATTGTAAAGTTCTTTGAGTTCCGATGAGTTCTTTTAGTAACTAGGTTTGAAGTTTTTGTTTTTTCTTAACTCGAGCGAATGATGCGAGCGACGAGCAGGCTTACAAAAGCTTAAATATGCGTTATTTAGGCCGCGATAATACTTAGTTTTACTTGAGTAACGTTTTTTGGTCATTTTTTCCCGAAGACTGTTGTTCAATTTGCATATTTTACTGTGACTGACGAATGTTCGTAATTTCCAGTTTTGCGTTTAGATTATTTTAGCACATTTTAGCATGGTTTGATCAACCAAATTAAATCAAAAGTACTTCAGGGCAAGTTTTGGGTCAGAATGCTGCGATTGTTTTCAATAATCAAGGAACGTGTCTTCTTTGGTTTTTTTTCTAACGTTAATCCAATTTGATGAAAGAGTTTAAGTTTTTAGGTATTTTTTGCATCATTCAAATCAGGACTATTAAATCAGCACCTCACCATCAAAATGCATGAACTTGAAAAACAAATAGGTAGAGTTTAAGAACTCACTTTTCACCTTAGGGCAACTTATTTAATTTTTCAGGTGCGTTTTGTGAGCAAGACGTAGACGAATGCTCGTTAGAAATAGGCGAACCTATGTGCACTAATGGAGCGACGTGTCTGAATATTGAAAATGGATTCGAATGCCACTGCATGACGGGTTTGTTAATTTCACATTAGATTGCTCGATACGAAAGTAACGGAATATTTGTGCTCGGGGTGGGTTTTTTTCTTCAGACGAATTTCGACTTTTTAACTAGCCATTTTTTACAGAATTTTTTACATCATTCAAAAGATATTGTCGTTGTGAGCTCAGATTTGAAAAGATATTTCACCTGTGATCATTTTTCGTAAAGTTATAGGGGTTCAAATATTGCCATTTTGGCCAATTTGGGACAATTAACGCGCGATATATTTAAGAGTTAATCCGTCTTAGAAATCGTTCCAAATTGATTTAACGAAGCTTATTTGCCATAATTGATTTGTTACAAGTAGTGAAATCTATCCTTTTGTACTGTATATGGCGTGTGGGGGGATGATTTTAATAAAAAAAATTCAAATAAAAAAAAATTTCATTTCATTTTATTACCTTTAATTTCTTAATGTTATTACTGCTCCATAAAACCTTAAAAAGCAGTCTGAACATTCAGGGCTTCGCTTTGATACGAGCAGTTTTGTTTTCGATTTACTTTTCATTAGAAGTTGTCCATTTAATGTTACTTTTTGGAGTTGAGCGACTATTTAAAATTTCGGAAACCGATGGATTCAAAGATATTGATGGGAATTTCGAAAGTAAAACCCAGGAAGAAATGTAATCGGAGCGTTCTGTTCAGCGCAATTTGTGCAGAACAGATTGTTCCGATCACACTTTTTGCTGCGCGATAGCTTAAAATTCCTGCCAATTTTATTTAGTCCACCCTTTCTGAAATCAACTTCCAGTTGAGTTTTTGTTGTGATTTGTAGGCTATAACGGGAGTGTGTGTCAGATAGACATTGATGACTGCTCTCCCGACCCATGCAAATCGGGGGGAGATTGTGTCGACGAGGGTCCCATGAAGTACAGCTGCACCTGTCCAAAGAATGAAACCACCGGACTGGATCTGTTCATTGGTAAGCACCGAGCTCTATTGCTGATGTTTATTTAGTAGAATTAGTTGTTGTTTATTTCTGTTGACGAATTTGAACCAGTTCATTAACCAAGAACTGCTCATTGTGACATCAGAAGAAATTCTCTTTTTTTTTTTCATTTCAACGCGTAATTTTGAGTTTCAGCTTTTTAAGGTGATCTATTTGTTCTTTGAATCTAGAAACTCATTTTTTTAAGGAAAAGTATTTCATTGCGTTTTTGTTTTTTTTTTTACTTCATTGACTCTTTTCCAGCATATTGAAATTTTAACAGGTCACAACTGTGATCTCCCGAACCCCTGTGTGAACCCGGAAACGCACGAGCCAGTGTGTGAACATAAGGGAATGTGCTTTCACACCAATGACTTCACCTCCTTTCGATGCGAATGCATGAACACTGGATATAAAGGAGAAAGGTGTGAACAAGACGTGAACGAATGTGAAGAATACTTGTTTGCAAAAAGTGAGTTTGATGCTTATTAGGGGTGGCGTCCCTCATGCTTGAAGGACCGAATGCTTGAAATTAATTTTAGCTTGCTTTCAGCCAATCAAAATTGAGTATTCAAAATCTCCAAAATAAATCACAAAAATCTCAAAGTAAGAAAATAAATCCAGACCATTAGTGTTATTATTGACCGATTAGATAATAAGTAGATAAGTTTTTAAGACTGAAAAATTCTTATTATTTTGAACTCATTAATCTTGATGATTATCTGAATAGTAATGCGGTTGTAACCCGCAATTTGTAACATTTTCGATTATTTTCCACTGATGTACAGTGCTGATTTAAATTATCCGGACGAAACGAACAAAACTTGAATTTTCAAACGCGTTTTTCTCAAATTGGGTTAAGATTAGACAAAAAGGGAAGAGGACAAAAGTTGCTTAGAATTTCACCAGAATTAATATGGTGCCATTTTTTCTCCGAAATTCTCAACAAAAAGTTTACCCCAAAAATGGGTCATTTTGGCTTTTTTCAAAAAATCAAGAATTACGCAGAAACTACTTTGTTAATTGATGAGAAAATTATATCACAGGAAGCCTCTTACGCAGCTCAACAAAGTATAAGAAGGGTTAAATCTCCAAAAACCAGTATAAGAGAAAAAATTATCACTTGATAGTCAATAAATTTGATTTTTACTATGTAAAACCCAGAAGTTCTGTTTAAAAATAAATTTTAAACAATTTGCGCAAATTTTTGGAGATTTAACCCTTCTTATACTTTGTTGAGCTGCGTAAGAGGCTTCCTGTGATATAATTTTCTCATCAATTAACAAAGTAGTTTCGGCGTAATTCTTGATTAATTGAAAAAAGCCAAAATGACCCATTTTTGGGGTAAACTTTTTGTTGAGAATTTCGGAGAAAAAATGGCACCATATTAATTTTGGTGAAATTCTAAGCAACTTTTGTCCTCTTCACTTTTTGTCTAATCTTAACCCAATTTGAGAAAAACGCGTTTGAAAATTCAAGTTTTGTTCGTTTTGTCCGGATAATTTAAATCAGCACTGTAATACATTTTCTGTTAATATTGACTTCGATTTTGTGAGAAAGGCATTCAGCCAATAGAAACGCTTAGCGATTTTGATTGGTTGAATTTTTTCAAGCATTCGGTCCTTCAAGCATGAGAACCCTCCCCCTTATTAGGTAAAATGGTGCATATAATCATTTTTAATGCGTGTATTTTGTGATCAGAATTGACATCAAATTGCTGAGATCATTGCTTAATGTAAATCATTGTAAAAGTAAACCAGAGCAAAAAATGTGCAAGGGTTAGAAAACAAGCAAGTGTACATAAGTCCTAAGTGCCCTTTGGAATCCATTAGTTTAATAGTTTTCAAATTCAAAATATGTACTGACAAAAGTTAAAAAATTGTTTTGTTTTGTTGGCATTGTCTGTCACCGTAAAATTTAATGTGAGCTTCATGAATTGCTTTTCACCTGCTTATTTTATAGCTCTGTTAAAATTCAATGGAAAAAAATGTTCTAATTTCTTATAATCAATCAGGCCATATGAGACTAAATAAAAAACCAAATCACGTAAGTGTATAATTTACTGTCAGGGGCTACAATATGTTCAGTTGTCAATCATCATCTTAGTGTCAATCATTCGAGTTGCTATTATTAGTTCCCAGACTTTATCAAGTGTGAGACTGGTACCTGCCTGTCAATCAACTAAAGCTGTCTAGCTGTTAAGTGTTGACCTCTAAGTTCTCTCTCTTATTTATGCGAACTAGAATTCAGTCAAGTCAATTAACTATTTAACAGCCATCTTTTTACAAACCCTTGTTATGGCGCAGCCAGCAGACGGTGGGGGGAAAAACCCCCTTGGAATTGTGGCTTTCTGGCCTCCAAATCAGGCGGAACCACAACTTTTATGGGAACACTGGAAACAACGATTCCATTGGGCGATGGTGGCGAAACATGGAATATTCTCGTCAGAATACTACTTTGCATCGACATTAACCGAAGCACAGATTACAGATCTGGGGGACGTTGGGGGAAAACCACGGGCAGAAGGTGAACGTACACTAATATCGAATCTGTATTTATCCCTGGGACATGAGGGACAGAGAGCATTGCATAACCAGCATCCACATTTAGATATGGAAACAATACGATACCCACGTTTTTTGGATACCTGTGTAGCTCTCTTTCAGAAAGAGCGGAACGAGACGTACGAGATGTACCAAATGTTGTCGAGGAAACAAAAGGAGGGTGAGAGTCTAGAATCGTTCTATGCAGAACTTAGCGGAATGGCGGCAAGATGCAACTTGGGCACCCAGGAGCGGAAAATAGTGAGAGACATTTTTATTTTCAACATGAGGAACAGGGACGCGCAGAACGAGCTGTGTAGGGAAACCAAAACCCCGGAAGAAGCATTGCGAATCGCAATGTCATACGAAAGAGGAGACAAATACGCAAGGAGCTACAAGGGGGCCGTATCCGGTTCCACGGGAATGGCGCATCCATCGCCAGGGGGTTCTCTACAGATTAAAACGGAACCAGTCAGCAATATTCGCGGATCCAGGGGACGAGGAATGCCAAGGGGACGGGGTCAGTATCCAAATCGTGGAGGAGGTCGAACACAAGATCGAGTGCAAGAGCGCAGATGTTACAACTGCGATCAACCGAATTTCACCCCAGAACACCGACAACGATGCCCAGCGAGAGCCGTCACATGCAACTTCTGCAAGAAGATTGGGCACTTTGAGAGGACTTGCCGAGGAAAACGACAATCCAGGGGGGAACAACCGGTTGGATTGATCCAAGGGGATGAGTTTCTCGACGAGGAAGATACACCCTCGGATGACGTGGAGCCCCAAGCTGCGGCAAGTTCAGTTGGTTTCGTCAAACGAGAACATCACAGCTGGTCGTCAGAAAGTTCGGACGATTACATGGTTATGGCAATTCGACGGAAGAAGGAAACGATGTTGAAAGTTGCCGGGCCCAAACTCAAAGTATTCATTAATGGGCACCCGATGAACATTTGGATCGATAGTGGATCGCCGATATCCATTCTAACACTAGAAGATTTGAGAAGAACAGTGGGAAGAGCGGGAATCAACTTGAAGCAGGATAACACTGATGATGACGAATTTCGAGATTACAGTAACAATCGGATCAAGATGTTGGGCAGAATGGAACTCGAGTTAGCATCAAACGGCTGGAAGACGACAGCAGAAGTCCGAGTCATTGGGGGACCAGACCATCCATCGTGGGACGTGACTTGATGGGTAAACTTGGACTACAGTTGATGCAAGCAGATCCAAGGGGGGAGGTCATGAACATCCAGGGGGCGGAGGACATTTCATGCAAGGAGGGACACGATGAACCAGAGGAGGAGCAGATGGATCAGTGGCAGTCATACTTCAGTAAGCTATTCCCAAAACTTTTTACTAGAGTTGGAAAAATTAGGAACTACAAAGTTCAAGCGGAATTTTTCAAAAATCTTGTACCAGTGCAGCAGAAGGGACGGAGAGTGCCGGTAACGCTCCAAGAAAAAGTGGACAAAGAAATTGATAAGCTATTAACTCAGGGACATATAGAAAAATTGAAAGAGTGTTCGGATCGATATTTTGTTTCTCCGATCGTCATCACCGTGAAAAAAGACTGGTCCGTAAAATTAGCGTTGGAATCACGAGAACTTAATAAACAAGTGCATAAAAACAAATATCAGATGCCAAATATAGAAGAACTTGTAGATACAATAGGACAACTTATATCCGAGAAAAAACAAGGTGAGGTGTACTTTACTACGATGGACCTAACGTACGCGTATGGGCAACTACCGCTTAGTGAAGAGACAAGCGTACACTGTAATTTTTCGTTGGTGGGCGGACGGTCGACAGGAACGTACCGTTTCCGAACAGGGTTTTACGGGCTAACATCAATGCCGGCAGAGTTCCAGCGAGTAATGGACTCAATCTTGAACGAATTCCCACAAGCGAACGCGTTCATTGATGACATTCTGGTTACAACCAAGGGAACGGAAGTAGAACATATCTCCTTGGTTGAAAAAATCCTCCGGAAACTAAACCACGAAAATATATCCTTGAAGTTACCTAAATGCGAGTTTGCGAAACGCGAATGCGAGTGGCTTGGCCATCGTATAACCGAAACGGGGGTCACGCCTCTTAAACGAAAAACATCGCCGATAGACGCACTAAAAGCTCCTAAAACAGTAACGCAACTGAAGTCATTTATGGGCTCAATCCACAGCTTGCATAAGTATTTACCGGCGATAGCGGAGATGTCAGCTCCACTAAGGCCACTTCTCAGCAAGAAAAACGAGTATAACTGGACCGCGGAATGTGAAAATGCTTTCCAAAATATTAAAGTGGGGGTAGCGAACATCGTTGAATTAAAACACTTTGATATTCATAAGGACATTAGAGTTGTTTGCGATGCAAGTCACAACGGCCTTGGAGCGGTGTTAGAGCAATTGGGTACAGAAGGGTGGCGCCCTATATCTTTTGCATCACGATTCCTAAACGCAGCCGAGAAAAAATATTCCACCAACGAGCTGGAAATGCTGGCGGTGGTATGGGGGGCCGAGTATTTCAGAAATTACATCCTAGGAAGATCATTTACAGTCATTACCGATCATAAGGCTTTAATTTCATTACTTAACGGAAATAACAAGAAAAACAAAACACTTTTTTCAAGACTAACACGTTGGCTGGACAGACTGATTCCTTTTGACTTTGTAATAGAACACAAACCGGGCGCCAAGATAGGATTGGCAGATTATTTGTCAAGGCATCCTAGCGAACCCCCTAAACCGATAAGTCAATACGATAATTTGTTCACCGTGGCAAAAATCGCTTCGATCAGAAAATCCCTTGGTTTTTCAAAGGAATTAAAACCCCTTGGTAAACGAAATTACCAAAATACTGAAGAAACTGGTTCTAAACAGTCTAAACGATTTTCATCCAATCACAAGCGAGAACGACTAACATGCATACAACCAGCGACGGTTGAGGGCGAAAAGTCATGCGTGAAGACAGCGACCAATAGGAAACGATCGATTTGCATATTGCGTAAATCAAAGAAATCCAAGGGACATTCAGTGTGCTCTATATATTGTTCCCTTGGAAGACGGTTAAATTTGCCTAATTCAAAACACTCAAACAAAATGGATAGCGACTCTAATTGTTCTTTCCCAGTATTTGAAATTGAAAATGTTGAAAATGTTACAATCGATTCTCAAACTAACAATCCGAATATACTACAACCTCAGATCAACTCTCCACTTAGACTAGACGAAAACTTATTGAGTAGCGATGAAATAACTGTCATTAACCCTGAAATTATTGCAATTACTAAAAACACACGGGATTCAAAAGTTAATACAGTACTTTCAATACCTTCGAAATTTCCAGGCGAGCTTTTTCCTACTGTTAATCCGAATCAGCAAATTATGTCCATCATTCCCCGTGATTGCAAGGTTATTAAAAAGTCTCAATCGTTACCAGAACTTTTTAATTTAGAATTTGTTGCCTCGAACATACCAGCGGATGTAAACTTGTTACGAGTGAAAGAAGCATTGGAGAAGAAGACCAACTTGAAAGAAGAACTCCTGAAGATTGGGAAATACTGGGCTCAATATGCTAACGATCTGTCGTTACGGGACGATTGTGTGTGGTTGGACGGACGATTGGTCATTCCTTTACCCTTACAAGTCCCAGTCGAATCACGGATACACTATTACCATCATGGTAAAAGAAACATGTTCGAAGCAGCGCGGGACGTCTGGTACCCTTATATGTACCGAAGTTTGGCAGCAAAGGCCACGTACTGTCAGCAATGCACGGAAGCGGGTAAGAACCTGAAACCGTTATTACCCAAGGGAGACATGGGGAAGGTCCCAGAACCAAGGGAACCCAATGAATGTTTACAATTGGATTTTTGGGGGCCGATAAATTATTTGAATGAAACTAAGAAATACGTTTTGGTTGCTACGGACCGATTCTCAAGGTGGCCGTCAGCAATGGTTACTACTACTAATACGTCAGATAAGGTCTTAAAGTTCCTTGTTAAGTACATATCGCATCATGGAGTGCCTCGGAAGATCCACGTTGATCAGGGATCATGTTTTACCTCTAATAAGTTTAAAAGCTTCTGTAACGAGGAAGGCATCGAGCTAATGTACTCCCCAGTAAATGACCATCGAGGCACGGGGTCCGTTGAATGGACGATAGGAAGTTTGAAAAACTTTGTCTTAACATATGCGACAGAAAAAGAACATAAATCTCTAGAATCTATGGTCGATAAAGCACTAGGCGCTCTACGATTCTCCAAAAATGCAACTACTAAATTAACGCCTTTTGAAGCTCACCACGGCAGGGAGGCCAATACTGTTTTACGAAATCTAACGAAAAAACCAAGTTTGAAGAATTTGAATTGGAACAACGTCCTAAAACAAAAATGTTTGTGTTTAGACGAAAATGATCCTGAGTTGAGCAAAGTTGCATTCCCTCAGCATTCAAATTGGGAGGAGAGGTCGGATCTAACATACGCTCCAACCTTGCGAAGGGCCCCTATCACGCTGGATAGTGACCAACAAATGGACGCATGTCCAAGGGGGGAATCGGAAGTTGCCCCACACATCCAAGGGAGTGGAGACACTGGACTTAACACCCAGGGGAGTGGGAAAGGACGAAATCTATACCAGCGTACTACCAGCAAGACCCTAAATCGGTATAAATTACTAAAGTCAAATGTAATCTCTGAATCCGAACATACTTTTAAACTTAAAAACGGATCCGTTCTTAGGAAAAGTGCAGTGGCATCAAAACCGAAACATGACCTTCCCAAGAAACGGAAGCCTGCCACGCTCAAGGATATGCTAGCGAGCGCAAAAAGAGGGGCAGTAGTGAGCCCGAAATCAAAACGAGCTAAGACCACGCAGACAGTCCAATTAGCCACCTTCGAGTCCGACAGTTCGGATACGGAAGACAATCTGCCAATAAACATTCCGGTACGACTACCGGTAGAATCGCTAGCGAGGCGCGAGGCAATTGCAGCGGGACAAGGCCCAAGCGGCAGTACGACAGGAGTGGGAGGAGGAACGGGAGCTAAAGCTAAAACCAGAGTGACAAGAGCTAAGCGAGGAAAAGGGGGCCAAAGTAAACAATTGAAGGAAAGCCAGGAACGTCCAGCGTTAGCGGCGCGGGAGTGTCTTGTAAATAGCAGTCAGGAGGAAGAAGGGGAATCAGGAAGCCAAAGTGAAAGCTCGGGAACCAGGAGGAGTACTAGAAGGAGAAAGCCAGTAGACAAAATGGGAGGAGTGATGATCGAAACCATCCAGGGGGCGGAACAACCAGGAACACAACCAGGGGGAGAAGGGAAATGAACTTATTTCACATTATTCGAAAACTCGTTGACCCAGGGAGAGGGATGGCCATTAAGCCTAAAACTCAAATTGTTAAAACTGATAGTTGTTTGTTATATGATAGTTGAGGCGGCAGGTTGAAGATGTGGTGAGTATACTTAAATTTAAATTACTATGTATTTAAATTTTACATCCATACGGAAATGTCAGGGGCTACAATATGTTCAGTTGTCAATCATCATCTTAGTGTCAATCATTCGAGTTGCTATTATTAGTTCCCAGACTTTATCAAGTGTGAGACTGGTACCTGCCTGTCAATCAACTAAAGCTGTCTAGCTGTTAAGTGTTGACCTCTAAGTTCTCTCTCTTATTTATGCGAACTAGAATTCAGTCAAGTCAATTAACTATTTAACAGCCATCTTTTTACAAACCCTTACTCTATACTCAGAAATTCGGCCGGCAAGAGGTTTATAATGGTGTAAATGGTGTGAATTTCTAAATTTGAGTTAAAATGTTTTCAAAAGCGGTGACACGCAATGCTTATTCCCAGTCCCCAATAACTCTTCATCCCACCCCCTCCCCACACCTATGGCACTTAGTAACGAATCTTTCCCCTCCCCTATAAAGAAAAATTAAACGGTTAAGTATATGAGATTTTGAACTTAATAACGAATCTCCCCCTTTTGCAAAAGGGGAAAATAGTTTAGTTAAAGAGATCCGGGGACCCTCAGCTGTTTCTAAGAGCTTGTGCTCAGTATGTACGTTGTTCAATTGGTTAAGTGACGGTTTTTCAAGCATTCGAGCATTAGGTTTAAAGCAAAGGGTTACATGTCAGTATTTAGACAGCCGCGTATTCAGACTGGTCAGTGGGGAGGGTTCTCATGCTTGAAGGACCGAATGCTTGAAAAATTTCAACCAATCAAAATCGCTAAGCGTTTCTATTGGCTAAATGCCTTTCTCACAATATCGAAGTCATTATTAACAGAAAATGTATTAAATCAGTGGAAAATAATCAAAAATATTACAAATTGCGGGTTACAACCGCATTACTATTCAGATAATCATCAAGATTAATGAGTTCAAAATCATAAGCGTTTTCAGTCTTGAAACTCATCTGCTTATTATCTAATCGGTCAATAATAACACTAATGGCCTGGATTTATTTTCTGACTTTGAGATTTTCGCGATTTTTTTTTAGATTTTGAATACTCAACTCTGATTGGCTGAAAGTAAGCTAAAATTAATTTCAAGCATTTGGTCCTTCAAGCATGAGGGACGCCACCCTGGTCAGTATTTAGACAAATACTGTTTCAACCAATCAGAATCGAGACAAAGAAGAAATTAATAAATAATTATTATTTATTTCAGATTATTTATGTTTTTTCTCGATTCTGATTGGTTCATACAATATTTGTCTAAATACTGGCTGCACTCCAAAGCAAAGATTTGAAAGCTCCATAAAAGAGCAGTAATGATAACCCATTTTGTGGCGCGAACAGAATTTTACCAGCCTGTGTTGCGTGACTCATTCTACGACCAGTTTGACCTTGAGTCACCCGACAACACTCACAAGTGGTTAAACATGACCTTCAACTGGATGGCCTTATGTCTGAATTTCGAGTTCGACGACGGAGACTACGACACGTACTCGGTATACGTAGCGTGTCGACAGGCCATAGAAACAAATAGAACTATTAACCGTAAGGATGACGTGTACTGTATCGGTAATCGAAGAGTGAAGGCTTTTGATTTGAGTTGATTTTTTATTACTTGAAACTACTGGCTTACTACTGACCGCAGAACTGTTCCAATGGATAATATTGAGCTAAATGGATCAATAATTGACTGTTTAACTGTTTGATTTTTGTAAAGATCCCCAACCCTACCATCACCATTGTTAATTTTTTTTTTTTGGGGGGGGGGGAGGATTTGTTTTTTAAACAAATTTGTCGGCGTGTCAAAATAGGGTCTTCATAGTGTTCTGGGAGCTTTCCAAAAATCAATTTGGCCGACCTGAATGAAAAGTCGACAAAAATTTTGAAAATCCGCCCAGCCCCTCGAGAGAAATTTCTACATCATCCTACATCCACCCCTGCCCCGTTGTGATACTTAGTAACAAAAATCCACAGCTATAATGAACTTAATCAATTTTTATAGATGCTGGATCTTGTTCACTACCCCCTAACCCTATTTAGAATTTCAGAAATTCTATTTTGATAGCACTTTCAGAGAATATTTTATTATATTTCTCAATATATGCATCCAGGGGCAGATCTAGTATTTTCTCAAAGGGGCGGATTTTTGAATAAAAATTCAAAAATTTGACTTGTTTTTAGGTCGAATCAGCTAATCTAAAAAAATTAACAATTTCAGTTCGGCAGATGATATATGTCTGCTATATTCAAATTGGGACCATTTGAGTTATTTAATAATTAATGAATTTCAGTTACATTTGTATTGAGTTCTTAATTCAGTTTCAGTTTTTTCTTTATTTATTTCAAGTGTTCGTCTGAATTGATTTGAACTAATTTGTTTTCAAACTTGTAATTAATTACTAGCATGTGAACTGATTTTAGAGTGCATTGAAGAAGGAAACAAATGTGTGAACACTGAAGGGTCATGGGAGTGCATTTGTACTGGAATCTATGCGGGAAGATACTGTCACACGTTTTGGGATATTTGCAAAGTTGTTCCCTGTGAAAATGATGGACAATGCTGGAATAAAAGGGATCTGGAAAATTCTGGAGACTCCAGAGACACAATGGAATTTGGAAAATGTGTTTGCAAACCAGGTAAATTGCATGCCTAGAAAATATATACATTTTTTTGTTCCGACCTTCGAAGAAAGTGACGGAATATTGGTGCTCGGGTGGTTTTTTTCTCCTGACAAATTTCCTTTTTAGCTAGCAAATTTGACGGATTTTTTTTTTTCATATCATTTGATAGGTACTGTTATGCTAAGCTCACATTTAAGAAGATATCTACTGTGATTAGTTGTCTTAAAGTTACATGGTTTAAAAATTGCCAATTTGCACAATTAACGCACGATATTTTTCGTGCTAATAAGGCGTACGCAGCGATTAAATCCGTCCCAGAAATTGTTCCAAATTAAATTGAGGCAATTAGATTGAGGCGATTAAATAAATGCTATTTCGTCTATTTAAGACTTTGCTATATGCGAAATATATCAATTTTTTACGTGGCGTGTGGGGCGGGGGATAATTTTCAAAAATGAATTTTTAGTTTTTTTTCGGAAATTTCATTCAGTTTTGTAGGCCAACACTTAGTCCATAGAACTAAAAGTCTTGTTAAGTAATATGAAACGAAGACACATATTTAGGTCGTGCAAGTTTTCGGGAACACTCATTTATTGTCACGATTTGCCTTTTGGTTAAATTTTAAATTCTTTTTCAAGAGTCACTGAACGTAGCATAGTGAAGACAGTTATATTGGTTGTTTGATTTCTTTTCTTTTTTCAAGAAAAAACATCTGAAAATTTGTTTGCGCTCAAATTTGATTTTTGGCGGCTTGACTTTTGATTTCTTTTTTTTTTCCAGTATAGTTCATTTCTTCCGTTAACAGGAATGCAAACTCCACTATTGAACAGCAAAATTCATGAAACACGTGAATCGACTTCTAGTTTCGAAAGTGGATTTTATTTTTCTGATTTCCCGGCGAAAAAAATTAATTTTTGATTCAGTTTTCTCAATTCTAATTAATTTTTATCAAAAAATTTCCTTATATATTCATCTTGAAATTCAAAGAGCATTAAGGCCATACTTTTTTTTACTTAAAAATTTGAAAATTTATTTTTTTCCAGAAATTTTTTTCTTTCCTTGCGTTCATCGACTTTTTTCAATTTTGTTTTGGCTATTTACTCTTTTCCAACGTTTTTCGGCTATGCTTTAATTTTATCAAATCGGGTTGCAATTTTCAAAAGGTGTTGATAATATTGCGGTGGATGTGTAATTTATGACCGGCTGGACTATCTCAACATTTTTGAAGTTGTTAATTGTTATGGCAAAAGAAATGTGCATTCAAAATTTTTTGCTACCTGTTATGTAATACAAAAATGTTTACAAAAATAAGTTACACCAAAACAGATTGAGTGAAAAATCGTTTCGAATTCCCTATAAAATCTAAATCCTTCATTCACAAGTTTCCAATTTTTGTAATGACCTAATTATACAAACTCAGACGAAAACATGGCCTGAGTTGCAAATTCAGTTGCTTAAAAATTGTACACAGAATTGATTACGGTATCTGATAAATGCTTTTCAATTCTAATTTCTGATTCCAAAATTGGTGTATAATTGGTTAATGTCGAAAAAGAGGATCTGGATATTTTTTCATCACTTTTTTTGAGAGAGTGGATGAGATCTCATTGTTCCAACCACCAATGTCTTAAACCTTTTTCCTTGCAAAATGAGGTTGCTTAAATGTTCATAACTCGTGATGATTTTTTTTGTCTGTTTTTTTTCAGGAGTTTTTTAAAAGTTTGTTCATGCTCAAATTTGGTTTTTCTCGGTTTGATTTGTGATTTGTTCATTTCTTTGTTAGAAGAAAGGTAAACTCCAGTATCGAACAGCAAGAGTGTAAAGGACACAAAAAACGCGATCGACGTCTAGTTTCAAAAGTTGATTTAGTTTTCAGATTTCCCTGCGGAAGAAAATTTTACCTTTTGATTGAGCTTCCTCAAATTAGGTTGATTTTATTATAATTTTGTCAATCAGAAATTGTTCTTGATGTGCAAAGAGCTTTAAGTCCAGATATATTTTGTGAAGCTCGAAAGTCAAAGTGTTTTCAAAGAAAAACACTATAGTTTAGTATTTCAGTAACTTACATAATAAATGAAAGTCGGAATGCGCTATGGACGCAATGTTTTAGCGTTGTCGAATGCTACGTTTAAAAAATATCTTAGGTCTAACGTTTAAAAGAAAGCCAAGAATGTTCTGGAACTTTCAATTTTTCTTAAGTTTGGCATATTCTACAATGTTTTTTGACAAGTCTTTAGACAAGATGAACTTAATTCATTTTCAAGGATCGACAGTGCCTGTCCATTTTTTCCAAAATTTTGTCTTTACAGATTGATTTAATTCTGAAACGAACCAACTAAAAATAGCATCCTCCTTGCTAGAAAAAACTGACTGTTTGCAAACTGATTTGTGCTATGAAAAGTTTCATAGCTTGCTTCGCAAAACATTAAGTTTTTCGCCAATAAATTTGCTCTGTGAAAACTTGAGATGATTCAATGTTTCATTGCCTCAATAGCTTCCTTAGAAAAACTGAAACTTCTCGGCAGTCGAATTTCTCTATTTCGACGTTGACATATTTGAAAAATTTCCACTTTTTTCCGAGCTCGCAATTCATGCGTTGAAACTTTGAAATATGTCAAGTTGTTTCCACTTGAAAAATTTCCACTTTTTTCCGAGCTCGCAATTCATGCGTTGAAACTTTGAAATATGTCAAGTCGTTTCCACTTGAAAAATGTCCACGTTTTTCTGAGCACGCAACTCATGCGTTGAAACTTTGAAATATGTCAAGTTGAAACTTTGAAATATGTCAAACTTTGAATTATGTCAAGTTGAATCAACTTGACATATTTCAAAGTTTCAACGCATGAATTGCGTGCTCAGAAAAACGTGGAAATTTTTCAAGTTATCTCATAGACCGAATCATTTGCAAAAAACTTAAGTTTTTAAGCAAGCTTTTCGCAAATTTATCTGACCTTTGATATAACTTAAAATTTTTTAACGTTTCTGAGCTTTAAAAGCTTGTTTAGAAAAACTTCTACTTTTCGCGAACCGATTCAGTCTATGAATTCACTTGAAGTAATTCAAAGTTTCATTGCTTTAAAGCTCTCGTAGAAAAACTTTAGAAAATTTTTGTGAACGATTTGGTCCACGGATTGAAATATTTCAAAGTTTCATAACTTGAACAGCTTGCTTCAAAAAAATTAAAGCTTTCCGCGAATTGATTCGGTTTATGAAATAACTTGAAATAATTGGAAATTTCATAACTTTAAAAGCTTGATTAGAAAAACTTCACTTTTTTGCGAATTGATTCGCTCTATGAAACAACTTGAAATAATTCAATTTGTCATTGCTTGAATAGCCTCCATAGAAAAACCTTAAGTTTCACCATCCGATTAGCTTCATGAAACATGTTGAAATTTTTCGAAGTTTCGTAGCTTGCTTAGAAAAACTTCAATTTTTTGGCAACCGATTCGTTCAATGAAACTTCAAGTTTTTTGAACCGTTTTACGATATGCCTCAATTTGAAATTGTTTGAAGTTTCTTTACTGGGATAGCTGGCTTGATTAGAACACAACTAATTTCTAGCGAGCCAATTGATTATTGGATGCAGGTTTGCTAGTTTATTCCATTTCCTTGCCTTCATTGATACTGGTCAACCTGCCTGGATCATTATTCCCATTGGTTTTAGCTTTCTCAGAAGAACTTAGTTGAGGATTCAGTACAGCATCAAAAAAAATTAATGCTGCCTGGTATTTGTTACTAAAGCTTCAGTGAAACTTTTGGAATATTTGGTGTAGTCATAAACTTATTCGACTGAGAAGAGGAAGGCGATAAACTTGATCTTCAGTGTATGAATTTGATTTTTCAAGTCATAATTTTGATTCTTATTTCAATTTCGTATTTTCTTACATGTAAATACCGACAAAAAGCCTTAATGCAAGAAAATACGAAAATAAGCATCAGAAATATGACTTGAAAAATCAAAAAGCCTTAAAATCCGTTTGCGAAGTGCAGCTTTCCGTGTTTTATTTTTCAACTTAGATAAATAAGGGAGAATTTTGTGCAACTGTTAGACCAATTGAAGATTCTTGTTTTCCATATTTTTCATTGTTGGTCAAAATTAATTGTCTCTTAGGCTTCAACGGAAGCTACTGCGAGGAAGACAAGCGATGTAGCAGCAACACGTTGTGCAAAAGAGGCGAGGACTGCATTGAAGACCCAATCACCCATTTCGGAAAATGCGTCTGCCCACAAGGTTCAAATTTGGACGTTCTAATACTGGGGTGCAAAGTTTCGATAACTAATGAAAACAAAGATTCGCTTGAAAAAAATTGGGTTTTTCACAATTATAAGCACTTAGCCTTCTAATAAGATTTATTGACACTCGGGTATTTCTTCTACGCTTACTGGTAAATGAACGCAGCTTAAAGTTGACGTAACTGCCATTTCAGTTTTTCCAATTGTTATTTTTTTTGCGTTTCAGGAAAACGGTGCGGTGAGATTGAGGAGTATCATGACTACCGAAGCTGCGATAACAGTAAGTTTTGCTATTTTGAGTTCAAAAAACATAGCTGCACATGTCGAAAGTTTTATTTTACTTGCGAGAGCCGGTGACTTGTAACCGGGAATTAGACTTTTCTACCGAAAGAACTTATCTTAAAAACCAGCTTAGTGCGCAAATTTTGCGTCTCTTGAAGGAAAAATATATTTTTGTTCCGGCTTTCGATACGAAAGTAACGGAATAATTGTGTTCGGGGTGGTTTTTTTTTCTTCAGACAAATTTCGACTTTTTAACTGGCCATTTTTGACAGAATTTTTTGTATCATTCGAAAGGTATTGTTGTCTTGAGCTCAAATTTGAAAAGATTTTTCACCTGTGATCATTTTTCGTAAAGGTATGGGGGTTTAAAGAATGGCATTTTGAAGCTTTGAATGTTCCGACTGACGTTTAAGGTTTATGGAGCAGTAATAAAATTCAAAAATTAAATGTAAGAAAACAAAATGAAATTTGAAAAAAAAACTTTTGAGTGATGAAAAAATTTTTTTGTCAAAAATGGCTAGTTAAAAAGTCGAATATTGTCTGAAGAAAAAAACCCACCCCGAGCACAATTATTCCGTTACTTTCGGTACGAAAGTCGGAACAAGGAAACAGCTCAAGTTCAGAAATTTTCTAATACAATTTGTTTCGCCAGATTTTTGAAATGCATAATTTATACTCAGTTCGGCTTTATAGTTTCCAATTTATTGCGCGAATAAGTAGTGTGACTTAAGTTCATATTGTTGTCATTTTTGCTGAATAGCATTGCGATTTATTAGCATCTATAGCTGTTTTATTGGAATTTTTCATGGGCCTGTGGTGCAGATGCGAGGACAAAGGACTCCAAATTTCCTGGTCTTGGGTTTAAATCTGCCACAGCAAAAGTTTCAAGGTTTATTCGTACCTTGTCTTTTCTTATTTCATTTTTACAGCTATCCCGGGGGTTGACCTCAATAGACCAAATATGCTAATCATACAATTCCATAAATTAAGTCTATGAAAAAATACTAGTCATACAAATTTCATACATTTTGCTTAAATGGTGTCATTGAATTTTCGATCAACTTTTCTCTTGTTTTGGCATAAAATTCGTGCTAAAAAACATTTTGTCAAAAAAAAATGCTAATCATACAATTTCCATATATGGAAAATGTATGACTAGCATTTTTTTTGAGGGCGACGACAAAAGTATTTTTGGAATTGCCCCCAAAACTTTTTTGTATTTTTTTTTCAACCGCAAATTGATTTTCGTACTCCAACAAACTTTTTCGAAAAAAAAATTTTGCATGCAAAGTTTAATTTTTTGTGTGTATAACGTAGTCTTGGATATATAAATATTGGATTTTTTTTCCTTTTCTGTTCATAACTTTTTTAAAAACGCTCAAAATTCCTCTTTCTTTTGTATGAAACGTTTTTGTATGCCTTGATCAATGTCTGGTAATATAAATTTCAAATTATGGAAATAATATTCTTTGAAAATTTTTGCCTACATTTAAAAGTTCGTTACTTTCGTTATATCATTTGTGTGAGACAATTAAAACTTTTCAGGCCGTTTCCAATGCATTTTTATGCGAGACGGCCAAACCTTTGGTTACTACGTTTGAGTAACTAAGGTTAATGTCATTTGTGTGCGGTTACGAACACAACCAAAAAATTTTGCGAAGTTAAAATATAAAAAATCAATATTTTTGTTTTATGGGAAATTGCTTGTCATACAATTTCCATATATGAAAAAATACTAATCATAGACCTTTCATGCAATGTTTTGTACCTATATAATTGCATGGAAATTGTATGATAAGCATTTTTCCATATATGAAAATTGTATGACTAGCATTTTTAGTCAACCCGGGTCATTTTTGCCGTTTTCGCGCTTTCGTTTGCGAAGCGCTGCTTCGGATCTGTGTAAAAGGAAGGCAAACTTCACTATCGATCAGCAAGAGTGCAAAAGCCCCGAAAAACGTGATCGACCTTTTAACTTCAAAAGTGGATATTAATTTTCAGACAATCTCGTTTTCTCAAATGGAGTTAATTTTAATTATCAAAAGGTTTCAATCAATTATTGTTCTTGAAATTCAAAGTGCTTTAAGTTCACAGGTTTGTTTTTGAAACTCGAAACTCAGTGTTTTCTGTTTCCTTGCGTTCCTTGACTCTTTTCCAACTGTCTGTTGGCTATGTTTCTATTTATATATGTTCAATATGTGTTTCAGGTGTTGGTGGCTGGTGCGGATAATACTACCTCTGCCATGTTAGTTTTGAAGAACAGGGAACCCGAAGTGAGGAGACAGACCCTACTCAGTCTGGTACGGGGGGGATACGACATACGGGGGGATAAGGGCAGTTGGAAGATTCAGGGTTTCGCTCTGATACGAGCAGTCTTGTTGTTTTTTTTGTTTACAAAGGGTAAAACTTATGAATTTCGAAGTTTGAACTTTTTCATAACGGCATTTTTTTTTTGCTTTCGGCTCAAATGTTAATCCCGCTTTCTGTGGCTTAGTTACCGCCCGATAAATGTTTTTGAAGATCAAATGAAATTTTTTTAGACTTTATTTTTAGACGTTTTTTCCTCAATTAAAACATTATTCCAGACTGAAATTTCTGTAGTTGGGTTTTTCCATTTTTTGATAGCTTGAAATGCTAAGCTTGTGTGGTATCGCAAGTGGCAGGAAGCTCCGCTCGTCTCTGTGTTTGCAATCTGTTCAAATATAGCATCGCATGCTGTAGATCAGAATAAGGGTAAAAATCACTAAGTTGAAAAGTATTTTGAAATCTACATAAAGTTTCATTTACGTTTGTCTCGACTGACAGTCGAGACAAACGTATGAAATTCTTCATTATTATCATTTTTTTGGCTGATTTCTGCCCTTCTGATTGCCAGCTAGCAATGCTATGCTTACGTTGTATCGAAATTGTTGCGAAGTTTTGCATCACCTCTGAGTGGATCTTCGCAACACTGAAGCTGCAATAAAAAGGAAATTGACGCTTTTGTCTGAATTTTAGTAAATTGAACTGGTTCCACTTAAATAAAATCTAGTTTTAACTACAGTCATGAGACAGAAATTACAACTTTTAATTTTCTTGTGAAAGAAAAAACAGTTTTTCCCCACGTTTCTGACATAATAGATGAAAATGTTTTCTAAATATAGCCGAATAAAAAGCCGTAAAAAGTTTTTAAGGTGTTTTTTGGGCATTTAACTGGAGAGCATCAGAGAGGTGTTCTAAGTTCCGAAAAATCCCCGTAAACAGCAAAAGCATTTTCAAATTTTGGGCTTAACTTTATAGTTGGAAAGCTAACGATCTTAGCCAGGCACTAATATAGATTTCGCTTCAGAAGGAACGAACTAAAAATTTTAAGCTATCTGGTAGAAATTGACTGAAAATGCAGCTATTTATTAATTAAATTGCCAAAATTTAAATAAGTTGTTATTTCGTAGTTGAGTAGTTTTTTAGATTACATTTTTCGTGAATTGAAACTTTTATGAGGGCCTTGCTCAATGCCTTAGATTGCCAATGAATACTTCAAGTCCGAAGTGTTTACGTGCTTCTGCTATTTTTGGGATTAAGAACACCTCTCTGACGCCCTCTATTTAATCGGCCAAACGACTCCTTGAAATCCTTTACGTTTTTTTTATCCGGCTATATTCTAAAAAAACAATTTCATCCATCTTATGTAAACGTGAATCTATAAGTTGTAGAAAAAATGGCAGAAAGGTTAAAAAGTCCGTTCATTTCATCACTTGAAAACTGCTAGTCCTGAGGCTGTAGTTATTTTTCATATTACTTATTGTTAAGACGCAACTTGATCTTGTTCGAGCTCTATGCTACTATTGAATAATTCTTTAAAAAAAGTAATTTTTGCTGTTGGACTTATCAGAGACGCTTTTTCTAATACAATTTTCGTTGATCAAAATAACAGTTTTTTAAGAGAATTGTGCAGATTCGCCAAATTTTACTTCAATCGGTTATAAGTATCAATCTAAACCTCGCCCCGATACGTAGTCTTTAAATGACGCAGTTTTTTAAATACTAGCTTTTTAGACCCTTGTAAAAACGGCGCCGAGTGTCTTAATGGCGTGGATGAGTACTTCTGCGTTTGTCTGCCTGGCTTCCAAGGACACGACTGCTCGGACGAAATAAACGAGTGTGAACAAATTCACGAAATAAAAGCAGAGAATGGATCCAGAATCGAGACGTCAAATCCTTGTGTCAACGGAGGTCAATGTATCGATCGACTTAACAGCTACGAGTGTAAATGCGAGTTTGGTTACGAAGGGAAGAATTGCGATAAACTATTGGATCCCTGCAACACAACTTGGGAGCAGTCAAACTTCAGCTTCTCGTATTGCGCAAAACAAACTACTCAAAAATGTAAATCGGAACTGCAAAACGGAGAGTTTGTGGTTGAGTGTCTTTGTAAACCGGGTTTCTACGGCAGTAGATGCCAGTATGCCGTGAACCCCTGTTTGAGTAAACAAATTGTTTACGGAGAGTCTGATATTATTCTAGAAAATGGTGTACTAGATGTTACAAGGAGAGAAATCGATCCTTATGTACTGTATATGGCGTGTGGGTGGATGATTTTTCATAAAAATTTTCCAGTTTTTCATTTTGTTTTATTACATTTAACTTTTTATTGTTATTACCGCTCCATAAACCCTAAAGGGCAGTTGGAAGATTCAGGGTTTCGCTCTGATACGAGCAGTCTTGTGGTTTTTTTGTTTACAAAGGGTAAAACTTATGAATTTCGAAGTTTGAACTTTTTCATAACGGCATTTTTTTTTTGCTTTCGGCTCAAATGTTAATCCCGCTTTCTGTGGCTTAGTTACCGCCCGATAAATGTTTTTGAAGATCAAATGAAATTTTTTTTAGACTTTATTTTTAGACGTTTTTTCCTCAATTAAAACATTATTCCAGACTGAAATTTCTGTAGTTGGGTTTTTCCATTTTTTGATAGCTTGAAATGCTAAGCTTGTGTGGTATCGCAAGTGGCAGGAAGCTCCGCTCGTCTCTGTGTTTGCAATCTGTTCAAATATAGCATCGCATGCTGTAGATCAGAATAAGGGTAAAAATCACTAAGTTGAAAAGTATATTGAAATCTACATAAAATTTCATATACGTTTGTCTCGACTGACAGTTGAGACAAACGTATGAAATTCTTCATTATTATCATTTTTTTGGCTAATTTCTGCCCTTCTGATTGCCAGCTAGCAATGCTATGCTTACGTTGTATCGAAATTGTTGCGAAGTTTTGCATCACCTCTGAGTGGATCTTCGCAACACTGAAGCTGCAATAAAAAAAGAAAATTGACGCTTTTGTCTGAATTTTAGTAAATTGCACTGGTTCCACTTAAATAAAATCTAGTTTTAACTACAGTCATGAGACAGAAATTACAACTTTTAATTTTCTTGTGAAAGAAAAAACAGTTTTTCCCCACGTTTCTGACATAATAGATGAAAATGTTTTCTAAATATAGCCGAATAAAAAGCCGTAAAAAGTTTTTAAGGTGTTTTTTGGGCATTTAACTGGAGAGCATCAGAGAGGTGTTCTAAGTTCCGAAAAATCCCCGTAAACAGCAAAAGCATTTTCAAATTTTGGGCTTAACTTTATAGTTGGAAAGCTAAGGATCTAAGCCAGGCACTAATATAGATTTCGCTTCAGAAGGAACGAACTAAAAATTTTAAGCTATCTGGTAGAAATTGACTGAAAATGCAGCTATTTATTAATTAAAATGCCAAAATTTAAATAAGTTGTTATTTCGTAGTTGAGTAGTTTTTTAGATTACATTTTTTGTGAATTGAAACTTTTATGAGGGCCTTGCTCAATGCCTTAGATTGCCAATGAATACTTCAAGTCCGAAGTGTGTAAGTGCTTCTGCTGTTTTTGGGATTAAGAACACCTCTCTGACGCCCTCTATTTAATCGGCCAAACGACTCCTTGAAATCCTTTACGTTTTTTTTATCCGGCTATATTCTAAAAAACAATTTCATCCATCTTATGTCAACATGTAAACGTGAATCTATAAGTTGTAGAAAAAATGGCAGAAAGGTTAAAAAGTCCGTTCATTTCATCACTTGAAAACTGCTAGTCCTGAGGCTGTAGTTATTTTTCATATTACTTATTGTTAAGACGCAACTTGATCTTGTTCGAGCTCTATGCTACTATTGAATAATTCTTTAAAAAAAGTAATTTTTGCTGTTGGACTTATCAGAGACGCTTTTTCTAATACAATTTTCGTTGATCAAAATAACAGTTTTTTAAGAGAATTGTGCAGATTCGCCAAATTTTACTTCAATCGGTTATAAGTATCAATCTAAACCTCGCCCCGATACGTAGTCTTTAAATGACGCAGTTTTTTAAATACTAGCTTTTTAGACCCTTGTAAAAACGGCGCCGAGTGTCTTAATGGCGTGGATGAGTACTTCTGCGTTTGTCTGCCTGGCTTCCAAGGACACGACTGCTCGGACGAAATAAACGAGTGTGAACAAATTCACGAAATAAAAGCAGAGAATGGATCCAGAATCGAGACGTCAAATCCTTGTGTCAACGGAGGTCAATGTATCGATCGACTTAACAGCTACGAGTGTAAATGCGAGTTTGGTTACGAAGGGAAGAATTGCGATAAACTATTGGATCCCTGCAACACAACTTGGGAGCAGTCAAACTTCAGCTTCTCGTATTGCGCAAAACAAACTACTCAAAAATGTAAATCGGAACTGCAAAACGGAGAGTTTGTGGTTGACTGTTTTTGTAAACCGGGTTTCTACGGCAGTAGATGCCAGTATGCCGTGAACCCCTGTTTGAGTAAACAAATTGTTTACGGAGAGTCAGATTTTATTCTAGAAAATGGTGTACTAGATGTTAATGTGTGTGAAAATGGGGGATATTGTACCCCTCTACCTGTGAATGGAGCTGGTCACTTGGGCTCGAGGTCACGAGTGGTCAATGAAACTGACTTCTTCGTTTTTGGCGTGCAATGTCATTGCCGCGAAGGTTTCATTGGAGAACGATGCGAGGTAATTTGCTGCCTGATCAAATTGAAGTAAAGATCATCCAATAACATTTCAATCAATTTGTTTTTGTTTTTTTTCAACAAGGATAGAATATTAATCAAGTTGTATTAATCAAGAAGAAATCAAGGGTTAAAAATGTATCTGAGGAAAAATTTGCTATAAACCTCTCCTGGGTTTTCTGTAATCGCTCTTGAAAGGACTGTTCTGTTACTCTAACTGTGTAATTTGGGTCTTTTTGTATAGCCACTGTATTAGCATTTGTGCTGACAGGAGTTTTTGCAGAGTTTCAAGATTTACTGATTAGATGGATATTTTTGTGTTATTTTTTCTTCTGACAGGTGCTTCTGTTTAGATTGTTGAGCAAACATGTCCGGACAGCTTTTGCAAGCATAGAGGATCCTGTATCGTGGAATCCCCTGGACAGTTAAAGTGCAAATGCCACCAGGGCATGACTGGACATGATTGCTCCAAGCCAGACGTAGAAGACCGGTCCTTATACACGTGTAAACTCTACTCACAAATATCAGGCAGCAAAATATGCGATAACGGTGGCACTTGTGTCGATAAAATCAAAGCCGATGGTGATTTAGCTGAAGACGAATTCGGTTTTGAGTGCAAGTGTCCCGAAGGTTTCAGTGGACAGTTTTGCGAAAGAGTTGATGATTTTTGCAGCATCGAAGGAGCAAGTGTGTGCAAATATGGCACGTGTGTGAATGAAAAAGACAGCTACAGGTTCGTCATTAATTTAACTTGCGCTTTTGAAGATTCTCAATCTTTCAAAGCAGTAAAATGTGTTAAAACATCCGCTCTGTTTTCGTTATTCGGTGTACCGCAACATGGTTTTTGCGTAGGATATTGAGACTTTCAAAAATTGTATTGTATATGTTCACCGGCTTTATTTCAAAACTCTGTTCAATCTATTCAAGTTCTATTAAAACTAAATCTATTTAAGTTCTGTTAAATCTTGCATAAAATGTGACGATATAATTTAGGTGCGAATGTTTCGATGGCTTCTCGGGGACCAAATGCGACCACATCACCCCGCGATGTCCTCAAAACAAAGACCTAAAATGCAGCCCACTAGCTGAAAAGAACCCCATCAACTCACTTTTCCTCTGCCTATCTCTGGCTGCCCCTTTGGAATCGGAATGTGCCCTGGATCTCTCGGCTCCTGAGGTCCAGACAAACGAGTGGTGTCCGAATGAGAGGTGTGGGCATGGACGACGGGGGGCATATGGATCTACTTGTAACATGACTGCCTTGGGGTCCAAATGTCACTGCGCAGTTGGAAAGAAGGGGGATTAGTAAGTGTTTGTTATTTAAGGATTATTTATTGATGATGTACGAGTTTATTTTGCTTCTAAAGATTCGACAGAATCGAATCAGATCAAATGAACTTTTTGTTTTATATTTTTTCAATTTTTCTCCGGTAGCCCAGATTTTTTTCACAAATAAGCCCTCTTTGATATTTTGGGCAAGCTTTTCAAGTCATTTTGGATACTTCAAAAAAGTAGATTTTCCTAAGGTTTAAAAATGCGCCCTTCCCCTCCAACCAAATATCTTGGATTCGTCCCTGGTCCTTAGAACAACAAAAACATACATTTTATCCTATTATGCTGAACGAACTTTTTTTCAGCGACTGTTCTGCTGCTTTGAACTTGTGTGACCCAAAATTGGCCCAATGTGACCCCTTGGGGACTCTAGACTGCGTTAAGAGCGTAGCCAAGGAGTCGTGGATTGCAGACACTTCTGAGTGTAGATGCAAAGACGGATTCAAGGGGAAGTTCTGCAACGAGACAAATGACGTGTGTATGAATAAAGACACGTGCAAGAACAATGGGTTGTGCACTGCTTTAGCTGGAGACGGTTTGTAGAAGTTTGATTGATGTTTTCTTGTACATTCAAAATCTCGTTTGACCTGAAGTTTTTTGTTCCTGACTCTTATCAAACAATGAATTCGCTTGATGTTATGCACGCTCACCTGCCTAAATATATACATCCCCCCAAAAAAAGTAGCTAGTTACAGAATTTTGAAAACATGTTTCTATTAGTTTCTAGTTGCTGTTTATTGGTAAAACTGGCGTCTGTTAGATTTTACGGAAGATTTTTTTCAAATGTTTATAACTTGAAATTCTTGAAGTGAACAATTTGAATAGTCTTTATTCTATTTTTATAGATAAGCACGTTGATTTATTGAACGATTTGGTACCAAATCATCAAAAGGAGGTCGATTTCCTTTAAAAAATTGTTTTGGGTGTGAACTTAGTTGACTGATCTGAATTCTTTCAGACTTTCGCTGCGCATGTCCGACTGGTTATGGCTGTAAGGACTGTTCATGTGTGGAGATGTGCGACCATAACCACGTGTGTCAGGGACCAGGCACCTGCATGATGGAACCGCTTGACACTCCCAAATACCACAATCGTCAGTACTATTCCCCCACTTTGTTTTCATTGTTTCAGTTTAGTTTCAAGGGTTTATGACAAGAGGGTTATTATAGATTTGCATCATTAACTGTGCCTTTCTTTTAAAACGAAGCTTATGTAATATTGCAAAGTTTCAAGTATCTTATTTTGGTGTTTAAAGAGGTCGATGGTTCGAATCCCGCGGAGGAGTTTTCTTTAAAGGCCTTGTTAATAATTCTGCAAAATTTCACTCGACATGGCAAGTTGGTTTGCGCGGAGATTTTTTTCCTGGGGCAAGATGTTTGATTATGTTCGACCGATAAGCCGAGTAGCAATTTTTGACCGACAAATTGCGTTGGATATTCGATTAAAAAGTCGAACGAAGTGTATGCTTTTAAATTTGAAGCTATCTTGGGGTATATTTCCTTCAAAATGTTTTCAGAAAGTGATCTAGCTTCGTCAACTCTTAATTCTCGTAAAAGAAGTTAGTTATATGACGTAGGAATGGAGTAAGCTATAGACGATGGATAGGTTCTTCAAATTTGCATCGTCTTTTGTGAAACGGTCTGCAAACAACTTCGGATTGTTTAACTGGCAAATTGTCAAAATCATGGTGATGAAAAGAATTATCTTATTTATTTATTTTAATTATTTATTTTCTTATTTAAATATTCATCATGAGTAATCAAATTATCATAACACAATATGCAAAAATTCAAAGATAACTCATGATAGGACAACCAGAAAGCCAACGAGAGGCTTGTTGAAGGTTGCCCCGTGAAGGAATCACATCATATGACATCAGATCAAAAGGTTCAATAATTAATTTAGGTCAAAGAGGCAAATTTAAAGCGAAAAAAAACGAGACTTAAATAGTGCAATCACTCTTTTTTTTTTAATTTAAGAGCTTTATTCTTTAACATGAGAACCAGAGATATGATGCAAGCTTATACTTACAAGGGTATACAACTGACAGCGGGCGGATGCGAAATAATGACTGTTAATTTAATTAGCGAGCAAGTGGGCCCAGTTCTTAAGAGCTGGTAATCCAGTTGTTTGCTTTTTTCTAACTCCCCTTCCTAGAGTCCACTGCCTGGTACCTTCGACGAGAGGTTATCAGGTCTAACCGAGGACTCAGGGAAGTTAGAATGGATTAGTTCAAGTCTAGCGATATAATTCATCAATCAAATGGCAATTTCCTATTATATATGAATCTAAGATTGAATGACAGAAAGCATTTTTTGAATGATGGGTTTCAAAGGAGGAAGGTATAGTTACACTCCAATTGGCTAATATATTAATTAATTTGGCTATACGATGGGAAACAGAGTTATATTTAAGCTTACTTTTCATTGATGGTAAAATACGAGCACCCTTTACTGATGACCTCGTTGAATAAAAAATAGTTTCACATTTCTGAGACAATTCTTCATTAACTATTTTCTTTAGAATTTCATATACATGTAACTCGTATACAGTAGCAATTTTGCTTTCGGCCATTATTTCCGTTATCGAGTCACGATAACTTTTGCGAAAAGTTATACGAAAAAATCGTTTTTGTAGTTTATGAATAACATCTAATGCACTTTTGCAAACTGCTCCATAAACAAGAACTCCATATTGAACACAAGGTTGTACATAAGTTTTGTAGTACATGACCATTTGTGAATTGGTCATCACATTACGAAGCCGGTATGCAACTCCGCAGAAGCGGGTTAATTTTTTCCGTATAATCTCAATATGATCTTTGAAGGATAGTTTATTATCCAATTCAATGCCTAGGTATTTGCAGCTAGCAACGGGTTGTAAACAAGTGTCTGCGAAATATATAGCATCAGCTTTAGATTTTGAAAAAAGTAGTAGCTTAGACTTCGATCCTTCTACGGTAAGTTTATTAAACTTCATCCAATTATCTATTCGATTTAGATCCTCTTGAAAGTCATCAAGGGAAGCGTTTTTGTTTTTAATAACAGATGTATCGTCAGCAAACAACGTAAGTCGGCAATTTCTTACAATTCTGGGAAGGTCATTGATATAGATCAAAAAGAGCAACGGTCCTAAGACTGAACCCTGTGGCACCCCGCACAAAACATCTTTCAATTCGCTTTTAAATTGATTAAGGACAACATACTGTTTCCTATTAGACAAGTAACTTCTTAGAATTTCCAGCGACTTTCCTCTTACTCCATACCGATCTAATTTATCAATTAAGATCGCATGATTGACAGTGTCAAAAGCTTTTTTCAGATCTAATAAAATTAACATAACGTCTTTTTTCTTCTGATCTCTCAGGTTACGAACCTCTTCTGTTAGATCTAGAACCGCTTTAACTGTGCTTAATTTACTACGGAAGCCATATTGATTTGTACTGAGCAACTTGCAATTTTCCAAATAACTACTTAATCTGATATGAATTGTCTTCTCAAAGATTTTTGACAGCGTTGATAACAAAGATATGGGTCGATATTTCCCATATTCGTCTTGCAATCCACCTTTATGAATCGGAAAAATTTTAGCAATTTTTTTAAGTATTTCGGATAGCACCCATTTGTGTAGCAGGTATTGAAAAAGTTCGTGAGCCATGGCGTGATTATTGGTTTACATAATTTGAATATTGCTGTATTGATGCAATCACAACCCGAGCTGAGTTTATTTGGTAATTATGTTAATTGTTCTATTTCTGTTTCCTTTATACTCGGAAAGAACATTGAATAATCAACATTTTCTAATGAAATAGGATCTGCAACTCAAATTTTATCACTTAGATTTGGACCAATATTTACAAAAAAATTGTTCATATCTTGAGCTTTTTTTCATTTATATCATCTGGAAACGTTACATTTTTATGTTTTCCAAGATATGCTGCAACCGCTTTGTGATACTTATGAGAGTCTGTTGTATTTAGCTTAGATCTCCAGAATCTTCTGAATGATTTCCGATTCAGGGCATTGGATTTGTTTCGTAATGAGTTATATTTGATCTTGTTATCTTCTGTAGGGTTTTGTATATATGTCCTGTATGCGGATGCTTTTTTGTTTGCTACTTTTTTCACTTCATTTGTCACCCAGGACTTGTTATTTTTCGGCACATAACGAGTTTGAGAGGGAGCAAATCTATCAATTCAACTGAGAATTATTTCAGAGAAATTTTCAGCAGATTTATCCAAATCGGATAAGGTACCATCGACTTCCTTCAGTTTGGACTGTAAGAGGAATGTAAACCTTAACCATGTATCATCGTTTTCAAAAACTTTCATATTTCTAAAGCTAAATGTTTCTTTATATCTACTAACCAATTTTGGCATAGAGATAGAAACTTCAATCATGAAATGATCGGCTGGACCCCAGCGGTGTATGCAACTATTGTTAATTCCAATGTTTCCCCAAATATGATCGATACAAGAGTTTGTTTTTGACGTTACTCGTGTCGGTAACAGAGGTGACAACAAATGATAACCGAAAGAACTGAACATTTCAGTAAGATCATCTCTTACCTTGTGTTTTTTCATCATATCAATAATAAAGTCTCCCATAATCACATGTCTCTTTTTCGACTTGGCTTCGGTTAAGACCTTTTCTAGTTTGTGGACAATATCCTCGACCCTCATTGACGGTTGACGATATATAACAGTTACAGCCGTTGCCGTTTTATCACCTGCTACAACCTCTATTTTTAAAATTTCTCCTGCAGACACCTCCACTAACTGGCTTGTATTAAGCTCCGTTCGTATATATAAACCTACTCCACCTCCTCTGCTCAGCCGAGGGCTCGAGAAAAATTTGTATCCTTGCAAATTGAACAACTCGGCTGAATCATTAGGGTTCAGCCAAGTTTCAGTGACAGCGATAACAGATCGGGCTATTGCAAGTTGCTCAAGACTTACTTTAAATGCTTCAAAATTAGATTTAAGTGATCGCACGTTAACATTTAGCAATGAAACAGCCTCAAGAACTTGGGTAAATGACGATGGGGACATAAAACGAAATAAAATAAAAATGAGATTGAATAAAAGTCCCTATTGAGGCTGTCTTGTCTTAAATACTTAACCACTGTCTTCTACAGTAAACACACTTGAAGTATTGCTAACATTAGAATGAAGCTCAGTTTGAGGAGATTGTTTTGCTAAGTTATCAACATACTGCACAATTTTTTCAGGTTCATTTCTGTGCTTTTTAACATAATCAAGGATTTGCTGATCCGACCCGGGAGTTGGCGGAGACACTCTTTTTGGCGTTGTCGTGTTGACATTTAGCCTCATCGTTGCATCTTGATTTCCTAATTGAAAAATTGGTTTTCTCTTTGCTAAAATTTGCGCTTTTCCAGAAGCAAGCAACGTTTCCGCATCAACCGAGTCTGCAACATTATGAGTGAACACCTTCCCGTTCTCACGCTTTATAAAGACTTGCGGTGCGCAGTTGTTCGTTGTTGTTTTCAAATTAAGGCCTTTCATATAGTCGAGTAAATCCGAATCTCTCTTTGTCAGTCTCTCAAAAAGGTATAAAGGTTTTTTATTGATCTGATTGAGATAATGTCTTAAAAAATGCTTCGTTGCCCAGATACGGTCTTTGACATCAAAATAGACAAATTTCACAATAACGGCTGGGGGGGTTTTGATGTCGCGAATTGGGCCTAGAGGGTGACACGCTAACATGGAATCACGAGGCACATAGATGTCAATTGCTTCACGAAAGAATGCGATTACATCTTCTACTTAATCAGAGCCATGTCGCAGAGGTAAATTGTTTATAATGATACAATCTTTTGAGGAATAGCGCTCCAGATCATTTACTTTTTTTTCAGAAAAATTAATTCATTTTTCATGTTTGCAATGGTGCCGCTTTGAGTTTCAACATGGGATAAAAGATCTTGCAGAATTGATTTCAAAGATGGATCAATATCATTCGACAGTTGGTTGATATTTTCTTTGATAATGTTCAACGTCATGACAGCTCCCAGTAAGGTGTAAGAATTATCTCTGTGTACAGTCCAAATCTGAAACTATTTAATAAGTTTATCACAACAATTAGGCTTGAATCTAGGCTTGATCTATAAATGAAATTTTGACAAATTTTATCCCGAGGATGTCGAATTTACGATTCTTTGATTTGAAGTCGGTTTCAATGTCTAGCTCCGCCTCTTCTGAAACGTTCATGTATGAATTGAAATATTAAAACAAACAAGTTTGGTATTTTAAACTTAAAATAGTGGTATTCTTAAACTGTCTCAATTATTTTCAAATTGAATCTTGAACAATGGGATGTTTTACTTACGCAACGCGCAATGATGGTGCTTTATTGTGAAATATTCGTCAATTTACTTTCTATTTTTAGCGAGAAACGTACTTTATCATTTCTTTTTCAAAATCTGAAAACAGATTTTTTATACTAAATTGGAGATACTAAATTATTTTACCATTTCATTGCAGTCGAAAACGTTTATCTTGATAGTTGTACATTTATGAAGTTCTCCATACGTGAACGAAAAAAAGGTTGAGCGAAAGTTTTAGTTTTATCGCTGGAAACATTTCAGGTTACTTTTCCTATTGTGAGTGCGACGGCGGAGTTGGCGGCGACTTTTGTGACATCGACGTGAGAAACGAATGTGAGGTGGACCCGTGCGGGAATCGAACCCACTTCGTCGGAGGAGTGGTGCTAAATCGAAGCTTTCAATGCGTCGACAGACTAGGTTACTATGAGTGCATAGAGACGAGAACTTCGGAATCGACAACTCGTTCACCGTTCGTGGATAAAGAGAGCCAAGGCACGAGTACAGTTACGGTCATAGGAGTGGGTTTGGCCTCTTTGTTTGTGATCGTCTTGCTGGTAGTTTTGGTGATCAAGGGTTCGAGGGGAATGAAGACGGTGGTGAAAAAGACGTTCTACCCCGCTGGATGGCCCGAGATAATCAAGGGTAACTCTGTTCGCAAGCGACGCCGTGATGACCCGGCCGGAAACTACGAAATGGGGTAAGTAAAATTCAAGAAATTTCAGAACAGGTGACCTTTAAAAATCTGCTCAGCAATTCCTTCGTCATTTTTATGGGACTGTTATTGCTGGAACTAGCAAAAAGTTATTTAACGCTCTTGAAGGATGTTGTGTTAACGATATGCCAAAAGATTTAGTCAACGGAATCGTCAAAACTCATAGTTCGATCGAAGTTATTTATTTTAGCTAGGTTATTGTGTTTACGAACAGCTAGTGTTTTAGAACGAACCTTCTTTTTTTCTAATCTAACTCGCAAATAAAAGTGTTCACTTCTGTGCGTTTTTGCTATAATCACGATCTGTAGCATTGGAAATTGCATAGCATCTGTTCTCGGCTTTATTTGTGGCTAGTGTTTGTGCTGGACTAAGCATCCGTGGCTGAGTGATTAGTGCGTGAGACTCCAAATTTCTAGGTCGTAGAATAGTAAAAACTCGGCGACGTCTCGGACTCGAACCTACTTTTTAGAACTCTAGAGCTGCTTTTATCTTCTTCTTGCTAGTGTATGCGAAGCGCTTCTTCGGCTTTGTGTTGAAATTGCAGTGATATCATTTAATGCACGGGGAGCCAATTTGTGAACATTAAAAGGTGACGATTTTTTAGATAATTAACCCCCCCCCCCCCCCCTGCGGCCATTTACACTGAATTATCCCTCTAGATAAATTTAAAGAAAAAGCAGCTTAGTGCAATGAAAAAACAGCTTAGTATTGAACTCTGGCATATTTTAAGTTCCATGACAGAGGGCACAGAGGGTGACTACTACGGGGGGAGTGAGTACTCGGAATTAGACAATGCGAGGAAGAGGCAGAGACAGTGTGGGGACAGTCTCTCTCCCACCTTCGTGAACAAAGAGGGAGCAGTGGGCAATCAGGACCACCTGGCCGCATTCAAAAACAACAACAATAACGTCAATGGTGTAACAACAAATGCGAAGGTATATCTAATCTAATACTTGCTTACAGTCAAGTTTCATAATGCTTTTTATCGAGTTTTGGAACATTTGTTACAAGAAATTGAAAATGAAAATAAACGTCAGCTGACGCTTGCTTGCAAATATTGCAGAAAGTTTCCAGAAAAATAGTGTTTACTAAAGTTATATAAACATCTAAAAAAACATTTATTGTTCCGAAAGTAACGGAATATTTGTGCTCGGGGTCGGTTTTTTCCTTCAAACAAACTTCGACTTTTAAACTAGCCATTTTTTATCATTCAAAAGGTATTGTTGTCCTGAGCTTAAATTTGAAAAAATATTTCACCTGTGATCATTTTTCGTAAAGGTATGGGGGTTTAAAGAATGGCATTTTGAAGCTTTGAATGTTCCGACTGACGTTTAAGGTTTATGGAGCAGTAATAAAATTCAAAAATTAAATGTAATAAAACAAAATGAAATTTGAAAAAAAAACAATAACTTTTGAGTGATGAAAAAATTTTTTGTCAAAAATGGCTAGTTAAAAAGTCGAAATTTGTTTGAAGAAAAAAACCCACCCCGAGCACAATTATTCCGTTACTTTCGGTACGAAAGTCGGAACAATGAAACAGCTCAAGTTCAGAAATTTTCTAATACAATTTGTTTCGCCAGATTTTTGAAATGCATAATTTATACTCAGTTCGGCTTTATAGTTTCCAATTTATTGCGCGAATAAGTAGTGTGACTTAAGTTCATATTGTTGTCATTTTTGCTGAATAGCATTGCGATTTATTAGCATCTTTAGCTGTTTTATTGGAATTTTTCATGGGCCTGTGGTGCAGATGCGCGGACAAAGGATTCCAAATTTCCTGGTCTTGGGTTTAAATCTGCCACAGCAAAAGTTTCAAGGTTTATTCGTACCTTGTCTTTTCTTATTTCATTTTTACAGCTATCCCGGGGGTTGACCTCCATAGACCAAATATGCTAATCATACAATTCCATAAATTAAGTTTATGAAAAAATACTAGTCATACAAATTTCATACATTTTGCTTAAATGGTGTCATTGAATTTTCGATCAACTTTTCTCTTGTTTTGGCATAAAATTCGTACTAAAAAAAAAAACATTTTGTCAAAAAAAAAATGCTAATCATACAATTTCCATATATGGAAAATGTATGACTAGCATTTTTTTTGATGGCGACGACAAAAAGTATTTTTGGAATTGCCCCCAAAACTTTTTTTGTGTTTTTTTTCAACCGCAAATTGATTTTCGTACTCCAACAAACTTTTTCGAAAAAAAAATTTTGCATGCAAAGTTTAATTTTTTGTGTGTATAACGTAGTCCTGGATATATAAATATTGGATTTTTTTTTCTTTTCTGTTCATAACTTTTTTTAAAAACGCTCAAAATTCCTCTTTCTTTTGTATGAAACGTTTTTGTATGCCTTGATCAATGTCTGGTAATATAAATTTCAAATTATGGAAATAATATTCTTTGAAAATTTTTGCCTACATTTAAAAGTTCGTTACTTTCGTTATATCATTTGTGTGAGACAATTAAAACTTTTCAGGCCGTTTCCAATGCATTTTTATGCGAGACGGCCAAACCTTTGGTTACTACATTTGAGTAACTAAGGTTAATGTCATTTGTGTGCGGTTACGAACACAACCAAAAAATTTTGCGAAGTTAAAATGTAAAAAATCAATATTTTTGGTTTATGGGAAAATGCTTGTCATACAATTTCCATATATGAAAAAATACTAATCATAGACCTTTCATGCAATGTTTTGTACCTATATAATTGCATGGAAATTGTATGATAAGCATTTTTCCATATATGAAAATTGTATGACTAGCATTTTTAGTCAACCCGGGTCATTTTTGCCGTTTTCGAGCTTTCGTTTGCGAAGCGCTGCTTCGGATCTGTGTAAAAGGAAGGCAAACTTCACTATCGATCAGCAAAAGTGCAAAAGCCCCGAAAAACGTGATCGACCTTTTAACTTCAAAAGTGGATATTAATTTTCAGACAATCTCGTTTTCTCAAATGGAGTTAATTTTAATTATCAAAAGGTTTCAATCAATTATTGTTCTTGAAATTCAAAGTGCTTTAAGTTCACAGGTTTGTTTTTGAAACTCGAAACTCAGTGTTTTCTGTTTCCTTGCGTTCCTTGACTCTTTTCCAACTGTCTGTTGGCTATGTTTCTATTTATATATGTTCAATATGTGTTTCAGGTGTTGGTGGCTGGTGCGGATAATACTACCTCTGCCATGTTAGTTTTGAAGAACAGGGACCCCGAAGTGAGGAGACAGACCCTACTCAGTCTGGTACGGGGGAGATACGACATGAACACTCAAACACTCTCGAGACGTGAGTATAGATGCCAGTTTCCGTTTATGCGTCAGTGAACAAAATAGATTTTTTTTCATGAGGTAGTTTTTTGTTGTTTTTGAAAGTTTTTTTCGCGCTTTTTGTTGCGACAGTTTTTGATTTAAAAAATTTTCTCTCCAATTGTACCTTTAAGCGGAGCTGAAGTTTTGCGCTTCAAGTTAAATAAATTGAAAATTGGCAACGTATTAATTTTCTTTTTTGTGTCAATTTGTTTATTATAAAAGAACATAGGCTGGATAAATTTTTATCTGAAAAAAGAGTTAATCATAAAATTCCTGTTATAAGAATAGCGCTAACATGATGTAACTTTGTTCTCATTATTTGAGAAGCTGATTAGTTTCAAATTATAATTGTCATTTTTTTCTCTGATACAAGAGTTGAGTAAGGTTTTTTAACTGTCGTCTGGCTCTGTTGTATTAGTGAATCATGTTTCCTCTTGAGCATGTCATGTGTTATTTTTCTGGCGACTGTTTAGACGAGACAGTGTTGCATCAGGCGATACTATTGTGTGACGCCGAGTCAGTCCAGATCCTCCTCGGCTCCCCCTCCATCGACCTGGCCATAGGGGACCTGAACAACAGAAACGCAGTCATGACAGCCACCGCCACGGCCGATGAAAGAGTATTCGACCTCGTTTGTCGGTGAGTCACTGGATTCATTTTCAGCGTGAACTCTTATTTCAAACTGAGTTGGACGAATTTGCAATTGTGAATTGTTTTTCTGGTTCGAAAGTGAGTTAAGTTTAATTTCAAAGAAAGTATTGAAAAGATCAGGTACAGTATTCGATCCAAAGACCGAACTTTTTCCGTCGAACCTACCCAATTGAAATGAAATAGAGATTTAAACTACATCCCCCTCCGACATTGAAATTCGCTTCTAGGTACAGTAACATATTCTTAATTGATGAATTAGTATTTTTTGGGTGTGAAGTTTCTTTTTAGGTACCATAAAGTGCAATTACTCAAATAGTGTTTTCACTATATAGTTAGGTCTCTTCGTAGTAATTTGGTAATTTGTCTGAAGTGAGTGAAGTGATGTGAGTGTTTGGGTTGATAGGGTGAGCACGCGTGAGATGATCAATCAGCAGCAGACAGATGGGTCCACTTCGCTCATGGCAGCAGTCAGACACATCCACTCCTCCACCATCCTTAGACGACTCATAGATACAGGCGCCGACGTCAACTTAGGTATCCCATTTATTACTTCGATAATGTCTGCCTGGTCGAAAAGTAGAACTTGTGTAAAAAGAGTCTGTTAACATCAAACAACAATTTTCAGCGGGGAAATCAAGCAGCAAAATTTTTATTCAAATATAGTTTCCGTTTTGCTCGCGAGATATGCATCATTTGTAAGCATGCCGCCAGACATAACTTTTGCGGTGTGACCATTGATTTTAAGAAGTTTCCTATGACGTAAAAATGCGCTTTTAATTGGGTAAGTAACCAACATACAAGTTTTCATGACAATTGGACAACGTGAACAATAATTGCAGGCTATTCGACTAGTCAATTCCCAAGTTCGATTTCACTCTCACATACTTGATTGCTTGATCTATCTGTTTGTCCCTATCTTGAAGAATTGACAAGTTGTTTGTTTTCAGCCGACAAAAGAGGAAGGACTGCGTTGCATTGGGCGGCACAAGTGGGCAATGCAGAGGCCGTGTTGATTCTGGTCAATGCCATAGCCGACAGAGACGCACAGGACGCCGAGGTATGTACGATTTATATGTACGATTTTCAAATCACTCATGTGATATAAACTGCATTAAAACGTGTCAGAACAAATTTTTACAACATTTCTTTCATGCAAAATGCCATGTGAACAATTTTTGAGCAGCTTAATTTTGTAATTATTTGAGGAGAGAGAGGGGGGGGGGGGTTATAAACTGGAAAAGAGCCAAATTTTTTTATTATCCTCAGGAGGTGAGAACTTCTGTCGTGTAACTCATTGAGACCGAAAGGCACTATTTCTGGGCTGATAATTAAGTCTTCGCCTCAAGCTACGGGCGTGGATGATAGAAGTGGTTCTCTAAGCACCGGCTTAGAGGCAAGAGAATGTAGATTGTTCACGATTCCAATAGCAGCTTTAATATTTTTTTTGGTGTGATTTCGAGCAAGGAGGCTTATTTAGAGTCCACTAACATATTTCAGACTCTTATATAGGTCGGGATGATTTTTTTTTTCGTTTTTTTTCTCAGATATTTTAAAAATTTATTCAGACTCAAATTTAATTTTCCGTGGTTTGACTTCTGATTTTTTTTAAAAGTTCAGTTCATGTCCTTTGTTAAAAGGAAGGCTAACTCCACTATTGAACAGCGAAAGTGTACAGGTCACGGAGAAACCTTGATCGACTTCTAGTTTCAAATGTGGAATTTAATTATCAGATTTTCCAGCGAAATAAAAATTTTATCAGTTGATATAGTTTTCTCAAATTGGCTTTGTTTTATTGAGAAAGTGTCAATCTTAAATTCAAAAAGTTTCTAGAAATTCAAAGAGCTTTAAAGCCAGTTATTTTGTTCTTGGAAATTCGAAAGTTAGGGTTTCTTCAATTAACTTGCTTTCATTGACTGTGTTGGCTATGCTATGTTCATAAAATTCTAGGTCACTTGATTCTTGTTCACTTAGTGCCTTGTTTTATGTATATAGGAGTGCACTCCTTTGATGCATGCAGTGAGAGAGGGACGTGTGGAGTGTGTGGTGAAGTTGTTGGAGTTGGGGGCAGATAGGATGGTGCAGAATAGGGACAAACAGACTGTGGCGGACATGGCACACAGCATGGCTGCAGCTGCAGGGGGAACAGGCGGTGACATGCTGCACTACATTCAGGTAATCATACGTATATTTAAGGTTGACACGTCCCAAACCACTTTTTGACGCAATTTCACACGTCAACATAAATTCAATTGACCTGAAAGCATTTTTGGCCTATTGAAAGGATCAAAATCTTCGATGTTGACAAAGTGACATTCACTATAAAAGTGACTATAATAGAATGCGGTTGCCGTGTGATACGTGCATCAACAATGCTATTTTCAACAACGTTTTTTTGTGGTATCTGATTTGGTTTTGTAAAAAAAACTTATTCAAATCCCGTACCCTCTCCCGTCGGAATAATTACCAACAAAATCGAATCAGCCTGGGTTATCAAGATTGTTATTGTGGTCTATATATCGCTCTCCGTATTTCTTCGTTGAAGACATTTCGCTTACTTCGCCTTTTCCACGTCTGGCTTGGAATACCTTCTTTTTTGCTACTTCTGCCTTGGAAATTGTGGTCGTTGAAAAAATCAAAGTCATTTCTTTTCCGCATATGCAAGGAAGCATCAATGTCGTCTTGGGGAATTTGACTGTTTAGACCCAATATATCACTTCTATATTGTCCGCTAAGTCCCTTCCCTAAATACCAGAACCAACAAGGGGTGAGCTGTGATCCGGTATTTGATGACAATCCCTTCGGTTGAAAGGTTGAATTTGGTGGTCGATCGATGTACTACTCTGGGTTGCGCCCCCTTGGCTCGATTGCTCTCGACTGTTCTCTTCCTCGGAAAGAATCGCAAGAAACTGGATGGTAATTGAATTCAGAAATAAATATATAAATTGCCGGGTCGCTAAATGGCCTGAATACAATTTATTAAGTATCAATGAATTTAATCTGCGATAAATTCGAGGAAACTGCCTCTTGCAGTTCACTTTAAAAACAATTCTAAACAACTGTCCAACTTGCTTCACAAAGCTTCACTAAAATCTCGCGTCGAGAACTCACTTAAAAAATTTCACGAGTCACTCTCAGGACCCGTCTGAATTCTATAAGTCTCAATCTTGTTCTGTTCAGTTCGGTGGTTGTACCTTAATCGCGTATCGTTATCTTTATTTACTTTCGGTTCGGTCAGAGGCGTACCGTTCCCTATCCCTACTAACATTCACTTAATTAGCTGCCACTCAGGACTTATCAGCTGAATCAACCATTAGGTCGGCTTTAATTAAACATCGGGGTGGCACTAGTTAATCATGACATACTGAGCAAACATTGGGTTCAACTACAAAATCAGCTCCCAATCGTATTTGACAAATGACACCTTGCATGATTTTTTTTTAGTTCTTCCTAACTTTTCTTTCCCATGAATTGGGTAGTTCTCAGATAACCGGGAATTTAACTTCCATGATACTTGAAAATTTTCCATTTTTGGTCAATTTTAATTTTATTCCCCGGGTTTACTTCCATGATACTTGTAAATTTTCCATTTTTGGTCAATTTTAATTTTATTCCCCGGGTTAAGTCCAAGGGCTGGGTAATTTCCTTCCCCGTGTCCGTTTTGATCCGAAAAAAACACCACAAGAATTTATTTAATATGCTGGGGCTGTTGATAAAATCTTCATCCCGAAATTCCAATTTCCCCCATAGATGTTCCCAATTTTTGTCCGGGGCTGTATTTTTTCTTGTTTGTCGTTCTTATCGAAAGTCCAAGTGGAGTGGGTTAAGCTGACCCCAATGTTTGCTAATTACAGAAAATCACTTTCGCTTGGGTACAAAGGTCAACACTAAAAATTCTCGATTTAGGGCCCTCCCCTTACCTCCCCAGGTGGGTAGGTACCCCTTACGGGTCCTTACAATGCTAATTTATCGCTTTTCGGGGGTCTTGGGGTCAAAAATGCCAAATGACCTCTTTGAGGTCATCCTAGGTCAAATGAGGTCAAACGCGTCCAGACGTCTTATTTTCGAGGGGAGATCATTCCCACTAAGTTTCGTCCATATCAGACCATCCCTTCCCATATTTTCGAAAAATTCGGTTCAATTAACACTTTTCCCTAAATTTGCCATTTTCGCCCCATAGGAAGTTCCGGAGAGCATTGGGTCACTGGGGGTCCCCCTACTGGGTTGGGCCCCCCTTCACATTGGTGCATTAAAATCACAAGTCAATTATCACTATCAGGTTTTAATAGCCTAATTCAATTTTCAAGTGCTAATAGCTTCCGACGTAGCCGCCGGATTGGATCCAAACATTAATACATTATAGGTTTTCCCCCAACCTACCATCCCCCCAAGTTTCAGCCTCCTAGCATTATCAGGGGTCGAAAAATAACAAAAAGTGGGGTTTGTTTACATAGGGCGTAAAACCGGAAGTAATAACCGGATGCTTTCAAAATCCCGGTGGTGAACTTCCCTTGCCTATGGCTACAACATGCCAACATTCTGACCATCATTTACCGGTTTACAAAAACTGCTAATTGCATTTTCAGAAATCATTATTACTCGCCCCCCAGGGGTCTGGAAATTGGCATGCCCGGCTAAAATCATCTCTATTCGTCACCCACCAATTTTCATAAAGATCGGACTAGTGGTTCCCAATCCGGGGGGGGGGGGGGGTTCCAGATTTTGCGCGCTTTTCCAATTCTTCGCCCTAGAGGTCAAATTCAAGGTGCAAAATCCGATTACGATTGTTTGCTCTCAAACTAAGCTTATCTATCACTGAACTTCATTGCTACAAGTTCATACAGTCGGTTAACGCTAAAATCAAATTTTGCAAGTTTCAACCATTTTCATCATGAATTACCAATTTTACACTCAGGTTTTTGTGGCATGTAATACAGTAGAATCACCAATTCTACAGTTACAGCAGTAGAGATAGATTAGAGATATTTTGGTACAAATTTTAATTTTCATCAGTTCAGCTGAAATTACAAGCATATGACAAAAGTTTTCAAAATAATAGGGTTCTCAGTATAGTCAATTGTTCTTAGTTATTTGAAAATCTGGACTTCTCGAAAATCTGACTTATTTGCTTAAAGGGTTATGTTGGTGGTCAGACTAAATCGGCCGATCAAAGGATTATGCAACTTCCCCCTTAATTTAGGCTCTTTTCGGCTCTCCTCTTGCGCTTCTAGCTAGTTCAGCAAATCGTGGGCACAATAAGTAAATTCTCAATCGCAAAGGAAATAAAACAATTTACAGTGCCCTTAATGAGCTAACTACTATTTAGCAACTTCTATATTGAAGCCTGCGTCCCGTTCCGTTCAATCACTCGTCAATTTTCGGTTTACTCGATTCAAAACTCGTCTACTCTAGCAGAGCAGCGACACAACTAGTTCAACCCGGTACTAAACTCTGGTTCCAGCGCAACTCGCTCGCACAGCTGTCTCAACCCGGTACTAAACTCGGGTTCCAGCGCAACTCGCTCACTAGCAATAATTGTTCTCTTCTCTGATTGAGAACCAACTACCCTGAGTAGTTATCACTGTTCTCTAACTCTGACCGAGAACCAACTACTCTCAATCGTAGTTATCACTGTTCTCTCTAACTAACTGAGAACCAACTATACTCTATCTCAGTATCAATTGTTCTGACCAGTTCGGTAGTTGTACCTTAATCGCGTATCGTTATCTTTATTTACTTTCAGTTCGGTCAGAGGCGTACTGTTCACTATCGCTACTAACATTCACTTAACTAGCTGCCACTCAGGACTTATCAGCTGAATCAACCATTAGGTCAGCTTTAATTAAACATCGGGGTGCCACTTAGTTAATCAGGACATACTGAGCAAACATTGGGTTCAACTACAAAATCAGCTCCCAATCGTATTTGACAAATGACCCCTTGCATGACTTTATTTTAGTTCTTCCTAACTTTTTCCCTTTCCTGTGAATTGGGTAGTTCTAATTGCATTTTCGGAAATCATTATCACTCGTCCCCCAGGGGTCTGGAAATTTGCATGCACGGCTAAAATCATCTCTATTAGTCACCCACTATTTTTCATAAGGATATTACCAGTGGTTCCCAATCAGGGGGGGGTTCCAGATTTTTAGCGCTTTTCCAATTCTTCGCCCTAGAGGTCAAATTCAAGGTGCAAAATCCGATTACGATTGTTTGCTCTCAAACTAAGCTTATCTATCACTGAACTTCATTGCTACAAGTTCATACAGTCGGTTAACGCTAAAGTCAAATTTTGCAATTTTCGACCATTTTCATCATGAATTACCGATCTAACAATCAAGATTCTACAGTTGAAAGCTAAGCTTAAAGTAATTTGAACTTGCCCTGAACATATCCGTTATTTCAATTAGCTAATTAACATGGATTTCTAAATTTGCATCTGGTTTAGAACGTGATGCCGGTTCTCGCGCTTCCAGACATGCCCAGCCAGCGCAATAAGAACAACCGCAAACAGGCGAAAGTGCGCAACTCCAAAAATGCACCCAAGAAACGTCCGAACGAATTCGTCCCTGTCATGCCTCACAATGGTGTTGTAGATCCCTCAGGAAAACCCAATCATATGGGAATTGTCAACCCTTCCAATTTTTTCATGCTTCATCAAAACCAAGACGGCAGAATACCCTTTGCCCAGCACCCCAATTTGCACGTTAACCCTAATTTCGTGAACCCGCACCATCTAAATGGGATCCAGAATCCCAACGGAGGGTCGCCCGGTGTGATGGCGAAGACCCAACAGGCATTTATGATTTCTCCCCCAAATAACGGAGCTCAATGTCAAACTGTGGTTCTGACTCAAGATCCATCTTCTGGGCGATATTTCCACGAAACAGTCCCAAATCAGATGAATGCGTTAACTTCTCATTTCGCGAACCAACCACCCTCATCAAGTGCCCAAATCAACCCGAATCATCAGGGGCCGCAAAATGGGGGAACATTCCCGATGCCTCCTCCTTCGATTTGCCCGGTGTCTAATGTTTCTCCTAATAGCAGCCGACAAGGGGCTCGTATTTTGACACCAAGTGGACTCAAAATGGCAGCACCCAGCACGGAATTCTGCGAAAGTTGGAGTGAAACAATGCCTGTTTTGGTGAAGCAGGAAAACGATGGATCGCACCACCGGCCGTTTCATTGCACTCAAGCTAGTGTATATGAAGATCAGGATGATAACTACGAGAAAATCAACTATGATTACGCTCATTTGCCCAAAGTAGTATCAACAAGCAGTCTTGCAACGCAACAAGCTGTCCAGAACCAGCAGCCGATTGCGAGTGAAAACCCGACTGCCGACTGTTCTAAGATACTAAATGTGATGACCAGCAATGTTAACGAGCAGCCAGCGATTCATGGGTTACCGCAAGCTAACCTTGTCTCACAAGCTAATGGTGCTGTGCAAGGTATTCAACAAACGAGTGTACCCCAAGTCAGCAGTGCAGGACCCATTTTGTACCCTGAAGTACACAACACCGTATACAGAAACATGCAGCAAATACCTTCGGATGGATTCCATCATCTTCCGAGGTACTCTATTGCGAGTAGTGTAGGGTACCAGGATATGAGCCGAAATGTGAGCGTCGGAAACCCTCCTAATCATCATGCAGGGGGGTTGAGACAGCAGTCTCAGATGCAACAAAGCTTGCCTATTTCTGCTGAATTCTCCAGTAACTATAATCTCAACAGTTCCTTGACAGGACTAGATTACGATTTCATCAACCCAATTTACCAACCGGCCCTAAGTCATACAAATTCTATGACCAGAAACAACCCGCAAAGTGTGATGACCAATGGCCTGGCGAATAATGGAGCACAGAGCTTCCAGTTTTCTATGCAAAATTTGCCTCTAAGTGGAATGAATGTTGAGAACGGATTTATGAATTCGACTAATACCGGAGAAGATAGAATGTTGAATGCCCATAATGGATACGATTATAACGAAGAAACTGCAGTCGCTCACTTCTAAGTTAATGTAGAAAAATCTTCAGTCTTCCTTGAAACTGCTGGAGAGTCGTATGTCGATCATTTTTAAACTTCCTTCGCATTGTTCGTTTAAAACTTCTAATTTGCATACCATATTTTAGCATAAAACAATCACATGTTTTAAATTTGATTCACTGCGTTGTAATTTACGGCAGTTTCTGCTCTTGCCAAAAATTTAATAAAATCAAACAAATAGCAATACTTTGAGTACCCCCCAGCTCAGATCGGCTATTATTTTATTGTTCCGACTTTCGATACGAAAGTAACGGAATATTTGTGCTCGGCGTGGGTTTTTTTTCTTCAGACAAATTTTGACCAATTTGGGACAATTAACGCGCGTTATAATTCGCGCTATTAACGCGTAAGTGGTGATTTATTCCGTCTTATAAATCATTCCAAATTGGTTCAACGAAGCTTATTTGCCATGAATGATTTGTTACAAGGAACAAAATCTGTCCCTTTCTGTTTTATATGGCCTGTGGGGGAATAATTTTCATAAAAAATTTCAAAAATTTTTTTTCGTTTTTAAAAAATTCAATGAAATAAAATAATGTTTTTACTGCTGCTCCATAAACCTCAAAAGGCAGTCGGAACATTCAGGGCTTCGCCCTGATACGAGCAGTCTTGTTTATCATTTGTAATTTCGCAAAGAAAAATACGATGTTTAATTCTGTTTGTATTTACTGTTCTGTGTTTTAATGTTACTTTGCTCGTTGATTTCATGAAATATTATTTTCGTGGTATTTGATTTTGTTCTAAATAATTGTGATAACGTCAAGAACTTGTTCATGTCTTGCATCACCGTTTCGATATTTTACTATGCAATAGACTTATTTTTATAATCGAACTTTGAGTTTTAGTAAAAATGACTTTTCGATGTATAAGACTTAGTGCTGAGAGGAGGCGGAGCAATAAGCAGAATAGTCCAAGTGCAGAATGGGTCTAAGAGCAGAAAAACGGAAAATTTCAGACTAATATTGGTTTATACGGGCTAATTGATAAAAACAATTATCAGAATTGTCAAAAACTGCCAAGAAAACGAAAAAATTATGCATGAATTGACTAATTTCATTAAGATTTTTGATTAAATCTTTTTAAAAGTTCTGGATTAAATTAAACCAATATTAGTCAAATTTTTTCTGTTTTTCTGCTCTTGGACCCATTCTGCACTTGGACCTTTCTGCTTATTGACTGGCCACCGTGCTGAGAATACTTTGTGCTTGAGAATAAAATTATAAGTGTGTGGATTTATGGCTTGAGTAAACTTTTTGCGTGGCAATTTTGATCAAAAAAAGTTGAATCAGGTTATTGTTCCGACTTTCGATACGAAAGTAACGGAATAATTGTGCTCGGGGTGGGTTTTTTTTCAGACAAATTTCGACTTTTTAACTAGCAATTTTTGACGGAACTTTTTTATATCATTCGAAAGGTGTTGTGTTCCTGAGCTTCAATTTGAAAAGATATTTCACCTGTGATCATTTTTCGTAAAACTATGGGGGTTTAAAGATTGCCATTTTGGCCAATTTGAGACAATTAACGCGCGATATAATTCGCGCTATTAACGCGTAAGCGGAGATTTAATCCGCCTTAGAAATCGTTTTAAATTAGTTGAACGAAGCTTAATTGCCATAATTGATTTGTTACAAGGAACGAAATCTATCTTTTTGTACTTTAAATGGCATGTGAGTTGATGATTTTCATTAAAAAATTTCAAATTTTAGAAAAAAAACTTTATTTTGTTCTATTTCATTTTTTTTAAATGTTATTACTGCTGCTCCATAAACCTTAAAAGGCAGTCGGAACATTCAGGGCTTCGCCCTGATACGAGCAGTCTTGTTAAGAGTTAATTAACGGTCACATAGCAGTATTTAGACAACAGCGTATTCAGACTGGTCAGTATTTAGACAAATACTGTTTCAACCAATTAGAATCGAGCCAAAGAAGAAATTAATAAATAATCTATTATATATTTAAATACGGGCTTCACTATCTCGCCATGTTTAAGCTTTTTCAACGTATTATTTTTGCATGTTTAAGCTATATCGTATAATCCAATGGTTAAGAATTTTTTTTCGATTTACCAATTTGTTTTTAGTGGTTAATTTGAATAAGTTTAAATTAAGAAGCCAATATCGAATTAGGGGTTGCGAATTTGGCCTCCAATTTTGAATGCCCGAATCATTTTAGTTAACGAGGTAAGACGATTTTTGAGATTTTTCAAAATTTTTCAGAAATTTTAAAAAACAAAATAATTTACAAAACTTGAAGCTCCCAACCCTGTTGTTGGGTGCTGCCAGAGTACTTTAAGGAGTTGCAAATCTTGCCTCCAAATATGATTGTTCAAATCCTTGTAGTTTTCGAGATATGACGTTTTTTGTGATTTTTTCAAAAAGGTTTTCAGAAAACTCAAATTAATTTTTTTCCGCAAAATCTGAAATTCCCAACCCCGTAGTTGGGTCCTGTCAAAGTAATCTCAAAGATTACGAATCTTGCCTCCAGATATGATTGCCCAATTTTTTGTAGTTTTCGAGATATGATGTTTTTTGTTGATTTTTTCAAATAATTTTAGAAAATTTGAATTAATTATTTTCCGCAAAATCTGAAATTCCCAACCCTGTAGTTAGGTCCTGTCAGAGTACTATCAAAGATTGTGAATCTTGCTTTCAAGTATGACTGCTCAATTCTTTGTAGTTTTCGAGATATGAGGAATTTAAAAAATTTAAAAGTTCGAAATTACCAACCCTGTAATTGGGTGCAGTCAGAGTACACTAAAAGTTTGCGGATGTTGTTTCCAATGTATGCGGTTTTTCATGAGCTGTCGGAAAATTTCGAAGCACCGAAGGTGCGCTAAACGCTAGTTATTATTTATTTTGGATTATCTATGTCTTTTCTCGGTTCTGATTTGTTCATACAGTATTTGTCTAAATACTGACGAGTATGAATACGCGGCTTTCTAAACACTGGCTGCACTCCTTAATTAACGCAGCGAAAGCTTTTAAATAGGTCGTGATGACTTTTTGTTTGTTTTTTAAGTGTAAAAGAGCGAAGCAATTTTCACAAATAGGTCTTGATTAGTTTTTGTTTTTAAAGTCTTAAAACGCTCAATTATCTTCATTCAATTTTAATGCATTTATGAGTGTACTGGTAAAAGGGTATATATGCACTTTCTGAGTTTCATTCAAGTTCATAAGCTAAAAGGTAGGCAAATTTCACTCCAACTACAAAAGCAAAAATGCGAGATTAAAGTACTACATATTAATGCATTTATGAATGCACTTGAGTATGTATACATTTACTGAGTACATTTGCTAAAATGAAGGCAAATTTTACTCTCCAATTACGAAAGCAAACACGGCGGGGAAAAATGATCAAAATTTCGAAAAGCGGTCTTTAATTTTAAGTTTTTCCTACATTTCGAAAGTTCAAATTGTTGCGATTTTTCTTGCTACGGTTTTTCAGTTTCCATGTTCTTAAACCACGTTTCGAATTTTCTGTTGGCTATTTTTTTTCAAATACGAAGTCTTATAAAAGTTGTTCACGCTCAAACTGGATTTTTTGAGTCTGATTGAGTTCATTTCGTTTGTTAAAAGGAGGGCAAACTGCACCATCGAACGACAAAAGTATAAATGTTACATAAAACGGGATTGGCATCTAGTTTCGAACGTGGATTAGCATGTTCAGATATCCCAGCAAAAAATTACGCAATCTGGATCATTGCCTAATTTAAAACAATACTGACTAAATTTTTTTGAAATTTTTGTGAATTGAAAAATTTTGACACTGACAAAAAAACTCAGTGTCACCCGAGCACAGACAACAACTTACCGGTGAATAGCTGCATTTTTGCATCAAATAAACTTCTAAAAAATATTTGTTCGGGGTCCAAAATTGGGGTGAAAAGGAATTAAATTAAATATAGCCAGTTTTAGATGAAAAAATGTTTACCGTGCTTTTGCCAATAGTCTAACCCGAATACCCCACCCAGAAAATCCGAAATCCAAAAAAAAAATCGAAGATCGAAAAAATTTGACTAAAAGTTAAAATTTTGGTTTCATTTGCTAGTTTATAGTTAGTAGTCAATAACTCAAACCCGAACCCACCGTTCCGACCCGTTAGAAAAAATATTTGTGAAAATTTTTGAGAAAAGTTTCGCAAAACATTGAAAAATCCGAAATCGACCCCAAATCGTCTAATTTCGGTACCAAACTGACGTAGACGATAAGAAGAAAAAAAATTTTCAAAAAAAAACAGCCCAGCAAACGTAAGCACTGCAATATTACGCAGTGTACAGACCCCTTAGCACTATATCAAGTCAATCCCTTTGAGTTGTTGCAACTCTGAGCAGGTTGTTTCTGAGCAGGTGTGAGATTCTCAAAATCCGGTTGACTTGATTCCCCCCAGATTTTTTTTTATCGTGCCGAATGCCGTCGTAAATGTATATATTAGCCGCTAGCTCGCTCTCTGGTGCTCATAAAACGCTACGTATAGCCGAGCAGAACCGTATATCGCAATACTGTTATGCCCTTGGTGGTTTAAGTCTCAACCACAAGTACCAATCAAAACGTGCCCAAACTTTTTTGGGCACCAAAACGTGCCCAAACCAGACGGCGAATTAGCCCATAGAAATGATATAATAATCTGGCACGACCTGATCAACAATTCAATCAGCAAGCACAATAGTAACAACGATACAGCACTCAGGGAATTCGAACTGCGCAACATTCTGCTTTATTACAAAAGTAACATTGCTGCAATTGTATATTGTCAACGAGTCGAAACTCCTAATATCTACGATTTGCTTTGCTCAACGGGCATTTCAATTTTAAGCGTGACTGGCGACTTAATCTCTAAGCGTAAGCTGAAAAACACTCGCTTACTCCGTCAGTACTTCCAAATTCACCAAGAAACTGACCTTGAACTAAAGTCTATCTCGATAGTCCGAAGTAATACGGCAAACTTAAGAAAAATAAAGAACACAAAAAGCGACCCTCTCAAAAAAAGCGTCGTGCTGAACGCAACCGCCGCCTAGCTGTCGAATCTGCAGCAAAGAACCTTTGATATTCTTTGTAGTGTCAATGTATTTCAATTTGTAATTTAATTCTAAATTACTAAAGCACGCATTTACGTACGCAAAGTACGCATTCACGTACGCATTCAAGTACGCATTACTAAAGTACGCATTCACGTTTTTTGTCAATTTTATTCTTTTGTTAAATCCTGGCTCTTGTTTTCTAGTCTTGTTTTTTTTGAAGCTCATGATTTTTCATAAAAAATTTGATTTGTA